TCATTTCCTATCAGTACATTTTCTTTTATTTTCCCACTTCCCATCAGTACATACTTCCTTCAGATTTCCATTTCCTATCAATGCATTCTTTCTCCGGTCTTCCATTTGCTGTCAGTGCATTCTTCCTCCATTCTTCCCATTTCCTAACAGTACATTCTTCATTTCCTAACAGTACACTCTTCTCCTTATTCCCATTCCCTCTATTCCCCGTCCCCTTATTCCCCTTTCCCCTATTCCCCGTCCCCTTATTTCCCTTCCCCCTATTCCCATTTTCCTTATTCCCCTTCTCCTTTTTCCTCTTCCTCTTATTCCCCTTCCCCTTATTCCTCTTACCCTTATTCCCCTTATCCTTATTCCCCTTCCCATTATTCCCCTTCCCCCTATTCCCCAACTCCCTATTCCCCTTCTCCTTATTCCCCTTCTCCTTTTTCCTCTTCCCCTTATTCCCCTTCACCTTATTCCTTTTCCCCCTATTCCCCTTCACCTTATTCCCCTTCCCCTTATTCCCCTTCTCCTTACTTTCCGCTTCCCTCTTTTCATTATTACTATATATAGTTCTCCCCTGTCTCCGATTGCTTTATCTATCTCCATATATTCAGGGTTACCCACAAAGGATGAGACTGTAAAGACGACCGAAAACTTTTAAAATATGACAATTCAAAGCTTGATTTTTTTATTTCTGCATTCAGTTAAGTATTTTGATAGTTTACAAATGATTAAGTACAGAAATAAGCAAGTTTTGTTCTGCAAGGAATTCAGAATGCAAGAAAACCGACCAAACTAATTTCGGACAATCGTCTTTGAAGTCTTATCCTTTGTGGGTAACCCTGTACCTCTGCTAGGCTGTAGGATATGAACATACCTGCATACAGGCAAGCCAAAGATATATGTATATATACATATCTCTTTCTCCACAAGAATACTTTACGATCCAATGCTCCAGAAGTTTTTGGCTAAATTCTGATCGATTTCTGCGTCAGAGCGTTCATATTATAGTTCATAGTAATATATATTTGTGTGTTTATCCATCTTCTAGTCTATTCAGCCCTTAGTATTTATACATACATGTATTATATATAGTACATGGTACAGGTAGTAGCATATCAATATATTGCTTAAAATATATATTCTGCTGCCTGGTAAATGAAGGCAGTATTAAACCCTGCTTCTGCCTGAAAACTTGACTTTCTCAGGCAGTCAGCTCATTACACTTTCCTGACAAACTTTGTCAAGAGTCAAGATTTAGTTTGGGTTCAGTTGAATAGTATGGCGGTTCACTTCAGTCAAATTATATTCAATACTTTGAAAATAAATCAACCTTAAATCAACCTGAAATCAACTTTAAATCAACTTTAAATCAACATGTTTCTACATCTGGTTCTAATCTGTAAATGTACAAATATAAAAATATTCAGGGAGTAAAAAGTTCTGCAGAAACCTTACATCTGCCCTTTTCTTCGTGTCCTTGACAAAATGCATTTAAGTAAAAATTCTCAGAAGTAAAATATTGATGTTTTTATTCCAATTTTTCTAATTTAATCATTTCAAAAATACTTGTTTATGAATAAAGTTTTAAGCACTTAGAAAATAAGAAGTTTAAAATTCCGTACAATTTGTGATTAAAACTATGATATTTTGATACTTTGGTTTTTCATTTAAATTTTATTTTTATTTTTTGTAAATTTTAAAAATGTACTTACTAGTTAAACTTGTAAACCACTTTATTTTTACCTATTAAATATTTGGCGAAACTTAGCCCGGCAAACCACTGAAAAAGATTAAAAAGTTTGTTTTTAAATATTCTAAAATCAGAATTAAAATATGCACTGGCGAGTTATGAGCTTGTGAATGTCACTAATACGAAATCTTGCAAAAACAATTAAAAAAGGTAGAAACTAGGTATACAATATTTAATATCAATAATGGGGTTTCAATATTTTTAACCCCTTTATTATATTTCCTTTAAATTATTATGATTATTTCTAATGCATTGTAAATCAAGATTTCTGTTAATCTATAATATAAATATCATATTTAACCAACACACAATCATTGGAATTGATATATGGAAAATAAGAAAAATTTACTTAAAAAGTATTTAAAAATATTTATACAGAGAGAAGCCCTTTCTTCTCCTTCCCTCCCTTTTATCCACCCCTAAACCCTGTTTGATTTCTATTGAAAACGAACTAAATGCATTAAAAATATTCATATTCATATTCGTAAGTAAACACGTACACAATACGCATATCTAAAAAAAAACTGTACACTCTAGATTGAACTTACATCTAATTATCTAATCTAAATTGTCCATGTCTAGTCATTTAAACTTTTATCGAAATGAACAAAAATTGCATTCCTTTAGTTTTTTTTTCCTGACTTTTAAACCTGCTCTCCTATTTTAAATAATACATTGTAATTTGAAATGAATTGAATTGAATTTCAACCGTGCGTTTCCTGAATTCTAATATTCTTAAAAGGATTATATCATTTGAAGAATTTTGTGAATGAATTTATTTCCTGAAAGAAGAATTTATTAGGTGCTTAGTAAAGTTGATTTTAATGTCTTAGCAGTCTATAAATAATTATGCTTAAAAAACTAAATACGAGCATTTGTCACACAAAAAACCCATTTGTCCTAAATTTGGAGGATTTTAATGCCTCTGAGTTGGCAGGAAATGGCAAGCGGGAAATCTTCTGTGGTGCTCAGAAATGCGTCAGGAAGTGTTTCAATTTTAACCTCGTTCATGAAATTATTCAGAACTTCTTTTCTTAAATCTTAAAAGTCGTCATGTGTGTACTTAGGTTTTTTTTCGACTATAATGCATAATACATACATTCACCTTTCATGCTTCATTGTTAATTGTTGATGGCTGATTGTTTATAGTTGATAGTTGATAGTTGATAGTTGATAGTTGATAGTCGATAGTTGGTAGTTGATAGTTTATAATTGATTGGTTATTGTCAATGGCCAATACTGAATGGTTAATATTTGATAGATGATTGATGAAAGTTGAAGGATGATGTTTGATGGTAAATGATGGCAGATGGTCAATGTTTAATAGTGGATAGCTGATGTTGAAGGTTGATGGTTGATGGTTGATGGTTGATTGTTGGGATTCTAAGCCGAATTAGTTCTTCTTGAATGGCTTCTTACAATGTATTTAAACAACAAGAGTTATGTGGCAATTCATATTTAAAAACTTTTCTTTTTCAAAGTCGTTTTGTAAAATTTATATAAACAATATACAAATATGAAAACTATAGTTTTTACAATTAAAAACCTGTTTACATGTTTACTGTTGGACTCCTCAGATTTTTATCTTTTAAAAATAATTTTGAAACGAAAGGCGTGGCTTTGCTTGATAAATACTCCAGCCCTGGTTTTAAACTTGGTTAGTGACAAAACGAAATCAGCTGATTTATACCAGATTTATCAGCTGACTTACACCAAACTTATCAGCTGACTTAAATCAGCATAATCAACTGATTTAGACCAGTCTTATCAGCTGACTTTAATCAGCCTAATCAACTGATTTAGAGCAGTCTTATCCGTTGACTCAAATCAGCATAATCAACTGATTTAGTCAGCCATCAGCTGACTTAAATCAGCTTAATCAACTGATTTATACCGGTCTTCTCAGCTGATTGAGACCAGTCTTATCAACTGATTGAGACCAGAATTCTCAGCTGATTTACACCAGCCTAATCAGCTGATTTAGAACAGTCATATCAGCTCATTTTATCCAAACTTATCAACTGACTTACACCAGTATAACCAGCTGATTTGAACCAGTCATGGTAGCTGATGTATTTCAGCATCTAATATCCAAATAAGCTGATTAGCTGATTTTAGTATAAGTTTTCCTTTAATCCAGCATACCTTGTAGATAAATTTAATATCCCTAGATCATAAGATTCATTTATTCTCAATAATACAATTAAACAAAAATAAAACAAACAAGACCTCAAGATTTTTTAACCCAAACAAGGTCAACTCAAACCAGGAGCTTAGACATACTTAATCTATCTATCTATCTCCCCCCCCCCAATCGATTACCCTTTCCTCCCAGCTATGTAAGGTTTCCTCACAATAATCTGAAGTTTTTGGGAAGGTTTTTAACCTTGGTAGCTTTTACTTTAGCTTTAATGAGAATACTGATAAAATCCACCTTCCAGTTACCCATTGCAATTGTCCAACTATCAACTGCAATGAATTATAAACTACTATTATCCATTGTTCTTATAAACTATTTTTATCCATTGCAATCATTCACTATAATTTTCCACTATTATTACCTATTGCAATTACGCATAACAATTGTCCTCCGTCCAATTATTCACTGCAATTATCTGACATCCATTGCAATTCTAGATTGCAAATTTCTTGAAAGTCTAGAAAATGGTAAATGTCTAGAACATTACCCCTATGAGAAAGAATATATAGATATCTACATACAGCAGAACATCATTTGCTGAATCGACAAAAACCTTTTAATCAATAAACATTATATACAATGATATCATCTTTATAGTTATTTTACTAACACACATTAACAACTTCTAAAAATAAATATTGTGTTAGTGAAGTAGTTAGGTAAGTATATGAAATAATGCTTAATGCATAAGATTTAAAGGAACTGTTCATGAATCTTAGAAAGAGACAAAATAGAAATACTAAAAGTTCGGTTTAACACTCTTTTTAAAGCTTTGCATACTTTACCGATTAACTCAAGGTTTAATGCTTGGTTTGTAATACATCCCCTGTTCGAAAATCATGAATGCTCCCTTTGAGTTGAATATTGTGCAAAGTATGTTAGGACGGACCCCTATCCTAGTTTGACAGAATGGGTGGAGAAATTCCTCTAACATATTTTACTTTCTCAGGCGGAAAGTCTTATTTATCATGACTAACCTTCACTCTCAACCCAGCCCTGTGTTTCCGTGTGGACATTTATAATAAAAAGGTTTGAAAATGTTGACAAGAACTTAAATTCCAGATATCTCTGGTAATAAAGAATCCACGGTGTCTCCGCCAGCTTCGGTCCCTGGCTCCGCCACATCCTTATCCGCCCCAGGTGCAGCTAAACCAAATGCTGCAAATTTAATGAGCAAGGCACTGGCAGGATTTAGCACTGTACCTAAAAAACCTGCGACTGTTAACCAAACCTCCGCCCAACCCTTCACCACAACCTCCGCCGCACCCTCCACCACACCCTCCGCCCAACCCTCCGCCCAACCATCTCCTGCTGAAGGTATTTGAGGTTTTACCGCGTGCTAATAACTAAACAATACGACACATTTAATCTGTTTTGATCGCAAAAAGACATATAATCTGAATCAAAGTACAATACAGTGAACAAAAGAACAGTACTGTACACTAACAGTACTATAGAGTACAGGTTGATCAGTACTAACACTAATCTTCTTATCTCCATATAACCCAGTTCCAGATTTACTTGATTTCCTACTCAGGGAACTATGATTAAACCCTCAACAATGAGATCAGTAGTCAGTCCTCATACACATACACTAACAAACCCCTCCCCCCACAAGATTATCTTACTTGACAGCCTATCTCCCCTCCCAATGCACATCCCTACTTCCTTCTTATACCCCTACCAACCCTTCCTTTAAATATGTATTTTTATTTTTATTTTCATTTTATGGTTTTCTCAAAGCATGACGAGGAATGCAGTGTTTCTTACAATTTATGTATCAAAAAAATATTTAGTAGAATGATAATAATTTATATAAAAGTATTTTTAGGTTATTTTCATAGTTCAACAAACTTTTTTAATATTATTTGAGATCGACCTGAAGAAGGGAAAAGTTTAAAGCCAAGTCTAGACAATAAGATTCTAAAAATAAATCTGACTTTTTAACAAAATGCATGAATACAAAGATTTGTATATATGTATTTACATAATATAATATGTAATGCAGGTAACTTGCATAAGTATATATATTTGAGGAACATATCGTAAGTAATAGTGTGTTTTATGTACCTCGATCTTTTGTTACTGTATGTACATTGTACATGCTAGTTGTTTATCGTTATAATTCAATGTTTTGCTTTTCAATACAGTTTTGATATTTGTAAAATATATATGTTTACTAGACGTGAAACTGAATCATGTTCGAACTGTAGCTGGTTGTTCATCTATTAGGAATATGGCACAGAACTCAGATCCAGCGGCAACAGGTACAATTATAGTGAACACTGTACATAGAAGGCAGTGTTTGTATTATAGCAGTACATAGATTTTTAGATTTGTACTATTTTTTATGGATTAATTAATCATAACTTGAGCCAAAGAGTCATCTTTCTTTGTAGGGTCAAACTTTCCAAGGGGTTTGCTGAAAATTATTAGAAAATCAAAGATTGGAATAAAAAAGTTCAAATTGCATCAACATTGATGATTATAAGTTTAAACAAAGTATTTATTCAAGTATTTTAATTGTATACATAATGGAAAGTAATCAGAAAACACAGAAATAATTGTCTTTTTAAATTTTATTATAAAAGTTGCTAGAATTTTGTATTTGTGACTGATTTATTTCTAAAAACATTTTTCAAAATACCAAATCCTTTGGGCCATTGCTTAAGAAAGGAAATAAAGACACAATTATTTCAGTATTATTTTCATATCATATGGTAGATAAAAGTAAAAAGCTATTCCTATCATCGTGGAGGTAGGGGTGGCTGCTCTCAGGGTATTGGAATTGCTCCCATTGTTTTAGAGTTCTCCCAGGGATTTGGAGTAAAATATGAAAATTTATCCGACCTTTTATGACTCCTTTAAAAAGGAAACTTTAAAACCGAAAATGGAAAAAATGGCTGTGCTACCGGTATACCCCTTTTTTACTGTCTTAGTTCAGATATTTGCAGAAAAAAATTATTTCCAAGTTTTTTTTTTAAAGAAAAATACAATTTTTCGCTTAAAAAATCTTTTATTGATTTGTGCCACCAAAAAAATGTTTTATTACATAACAGTCATAAAATATAGATTTTTCCATGTCAAATTTAGAGGTATTTGGTCCGCACTATATCAAAAATCCTCAAATTATTGAGATATTTGAAAGAAATATGTTTTTTCTTAGTTTTCCTCAGGAGGATTTTTGGTATCGTGCGGGCCATATATAAAATTTGACATGGAACAATTTTATTTTGTGATTTTAATGGCACCAATCAATTTAAGTTTTTTTACGCGAAACATTGAACTTTCATTAAAAAAACTTGGAAATAAACTTGTAAAGATGTTGAGACCAGCTCAAATGAAACCTTTAAGTATCTAGCTAAAAAACAAGGTTTTTTACATTTACCTTAACAAAGATGGTAAAAAAGGGTTAGCAGATCCCTTTTTTCAATTTTCGGTTTTAAATTACCCTTTTTATAAGACTTATCATGAAAGGGCAAATAAATTTTAACATTTTACTCCCAAACCCTTGGAGCACTCCAAAATCCCGGGAGCACTCCAAAATCCCGGGAGCACTCCAAAATCCCGGGAGAACTCCAAAATCCCGGGAGCACTCCAAAATCCTGGGAGCACTCCAAAATCCTGGGAGCACTCCAAAATCCCGGGAGCACTCCAAAACCCTGGGAGCCGCCACCCCTCCTTCTATCATCTACTTAATACCATTTTCGTTTAATTAAAGAATTTCAAAGCTTAAATATTTTAAAACTAAACTCTGTTCTTAGTTTCGTGTCTATGCTTTGTAATTTCTATTCGTGAATTATATTCGAACATGAAATAATCTTATTACGCCGATCTGTCTAATGGATAAACGTCTTCATGAAAATAGATTAAAACTGAAAAATCATTATTTATCCCAATTTTGATTGGAATTTGATCTGGGGTTAACAAATTAATGTTTTCGAAAATTTAGTTTCGTAAAAGAAGATGTTCTATAGATTTTAAAGATATAAAGGTTTATCATTAATCAAAGCTTGTTAGTACTGTCAAAAATGAAGGACAAAGATGATTGATTTGACCAAGCTGTTAGCTGCCATGAACCTGACCATGGGTGCCATTGGTTTTTGAAACAGTCAGATTTTATCATAAAATAGATAAAGGAATTGAGTTTTTGCCACAAATCCCAATTTTGTAATACCTAAATCTCAACAACCAGATGATGCAAACCTTTTATATTTCAAACTTATACTGTTTGATCCACTAAAATTCATAGTTTGAAATACCTACGGCCTACGAAATTTGGTTTTAAAGAAATTGGGATTTAAAAATCCGAGTTTGTGGGAAAGATTCAATTCCTTTGTCTTTTCTTTCTATTTGAAGAATTCAGAAATAAGATTGTGACTAATATTCCATATACGCTACTACTACAGATGTATAGGCAATGGTTACATTGTACAGTTTTTGCCACTCTATAGAGCCTATAATATAAGAAAAGTCGATAATAATTGAATTGACAACATGAAAAGTTTCTTTTACGTTGAAATTTTGTTGAACATTTCACAAAAACTTTTAAATAATTGTAACTTTTGCTTTAGTTTTTAAAGTGGGAGATCATTTATTTATTTTACTTTTAAACATTTTAACTTTTACCAACAATACAGAAACTTAAAAACTTTTTTCTCGGATCTATCTCTAATAAATGAATTTGTTCTCTACATCAACAAAACTTACATTAAAGTAATAGGCTGTGGGAAGTGATTACATATTCCCTGTTTGTCAGTATAAAACATCAATTAGGTTTAATTAAATAATTAATTAAATTGGATTCATAATAACAGTTTTTAATTTAATGAAATAAACGAATTTTGTGGTTTTAAATTGAATCAATTAAAAGTCCCTCTAAAAAGTTACCAGCGCTGTTCAATTATATAATGTACATATTATTATTATTATTATCATATTATTATTTAGCTTAGTAATTAGAGATATCCTAGTCGTATTCTGTTTAGGTACTGTTCGGGACTTTAATATTCAGCTGTAATCTGTACGCTGTACATTGTATTATCTACATTGTACACTGTACATTGTGCATTATGCAATGTATTCAAACGAACAAATCAGTTTTAAATTTAACATAAAAACAATTTTGGTATTTTCTTTAAGAATAAAAGTTATTGAAAGGTATCCTAAAATTTAGGCTTACTCTAATTTGTATACATTAAGTCATTTTTTGTAATAGAATATAATATTTTAAGTTAAGATATCATATTTTGTGCATTACACTAAACTGCGATTATACATATTTCGAAAAACTAAACTTTTCAGATTTTTTATTGAATTCGCATTTTTATGGAAACCTTTAATTTAGGTTTACAGTTTTGTTAAAAGTTTTGTTAAATTTTTGTTAAATTTGTTGTTAAAAGTTGCAAAAGTTTTGAAATTAATGTCTAATTGTTGTAGCTCGGAAGAGTGAGATTGTAAGGTTAACAGAACAGATCCTAGATGCTATAAATGCAGGAGACTTTGATACTTACACGTAGGTATCTTTAGATAATTAGCAGTAATCACATATTTTTGTCGTAATTAGATAATTTATTACTTTTGCCAAGCATTAATCTATATTTGTATATTATTTGCAGAAAGCTGTGTGATCCAAACCTTACAGCATTTGAACCTGAATCCATCGGAAACCTAGTCGAGGGGTTGGACTTCCATAGGTTCTATTTTGATCATTGTAAGTATATTCACACTTACTATTTTATATTCAGAGTCAAAGTTTTTTAGATTTAGGCAGTTAACTATTTAGATTGTTAGCATTCTGCTTTAATCATAAAAGATGTGTGCTATAGTTCTTAATCGTGAAGATTTCAACCAATTAGCGTCTTTAACAGTTTATCTTTGGACTCTCGTAACTGTTAAGCTTTTAACATATGAGAGCTCTTATCTGTTACGCTTTTGACCAATGAGAGCCCTTAACTGTTAAGCTTTTTACGAATGAGAGCCCTTAACTTTTAAGCTTTTGAAGAATGAGAACCCTTAACTGTTAAGCTTTTGACCAATGAGAGCCCTTAACTGTTAAACTTTTGTAGAATGAGAGCCCTTAACTGTTAAGCTTTTGACCAATTAGCTAGTCCTTAACTGTGAAGATTTCAACCAATTGGCGTCTTTAACCATTTATCTTTTGACCAATGAGATCTCTCAACTGTTAAGCTTTTGTAGAATGAGAGCCCTTAACTGTTAACCGTTAAATTTTTGACCAATGAGAGCCTTTGATCTTATGTCTTCGACAATCGAGGGCCCTTTACCGTTAAGCTTTCGACCAATTAAAGCTCTTAGTTATTGAATGCCTAAATTAAATGACTAATTAATGTTTTCGGCCACTGAGAGAGCTAGAAACATCTGACGAAAATTTATTTATAAATTCTTATCGGTTGAACTTTTAATGGTTTAGAACTCTCATTGTCGGCGTTGGTCACTGTAAAAAATTTGCAATTTTGGAATGGATTTAGCTAGCTGATATTATATCATCAGAGTATTTAATGTCCTAAAATATGATAAAATCCTAAACATTCGCAATCAACAAATTGTACTTTGAATGGATTAAAAATGACTCCCTTCAAAGAAGTCTGATCATCTTTAATAAAAAATTCCTGAATGTAATTGCAAATAAAAGAAAAAATTTCTTTAAGGGGAAATTAAATTCTTTGTTATTTATGCAATACAACTATTTACAATAGAATTCATATTATACTCAAACTATTATTTTCGAAGAAAAATAATGCAGAAAATTGTAAAATACTTTAAACTTTCAATAAAAATTGTTCATCAATACACAATGCATTTGTTGTTTTCAGCCTTAACACGAAAGAGATTGTTTTAAGTTTAACTTAAGAAAATTGGTGCAAATATGTTGTTTATTTAAATGTTTTATAATTTTTGGTATCAAAAATGTTTTATTTTTGATTAGTAGTTCATAGGCTCCTTGCTATAAACTACTGTGAAATTTTTACTCCGCAAAATCGTGTAATTTAAAAAGAAAAAAGAATTATTAATATTTTTTCTAGATTCCGTGTTGAAGCAATCCAAAGAATCCAATGTAACTATTTTAAATCCAAATGTTCATATCCTGGGATCAGATGCAGCTAGTATTGCATATATCAGAATTACACAAACTATCGACAAGTAAGTGATTTACTTACTATTTGATTTTTCATAAATTTCATATATCATATCTGATTATTGATATATTTCATATTTGATTATTGATATATTTCATAGTTGATTATTTATATATTTCATATCTGATTATTGATATATTTCAGATTTGATTATTTATATATATTTCATATTTGATTATTTATATATTTCATAGTTGATTATTTATATATTTCATATCTGATTATTGATATATTTCAGATTTGATTATTTATATATATTTCATATTTGATTATTGATATATTTCATAGTTGATTATTTATATATTTCATATCTGATTATTGATATATTTCATAGTTGATTATTTATTTGTCCACTTTATTTTTTTAATGGTGTTTTTTGCTCTCCTATGTTTGCTAGACTAATTTGAATTTTTATTTATCAATTATTTCGTAGGTTGTTTTCTTTTTTTAAAGAAAATATTTATTTTTTATTTTTTATTCACCACTTTACAAAACGTTAATGATGACCTGTAAGTGTTTGAAAAAATATTATTATTGATAACGTTTCTTCTTTAGACAAGGCAACGCTCATAGTCAACAGTCTGAGGAAACAAGGATATGGCAGAGAAGAGAAGGAAGATGGGTTAATATTCACTTCCATAGGAGTACACATACAAACAACAATCCTTATGCCATCAAACCATGCTAGGTAGTTAATATTCACTTCCATAGGAGTACACATACAAACCTTGCTAGGTAGTTAATATTCTTCCATAGGAGTACACATACAAACCATGCTAGGTAGTTAATATTCTTGCAGTGGAGTACACATACAAACCTTGCTAGGTAGTTAATATTCACTTCCATAGGTGTACATATACAACCCTTGCTGGGTAGTTAATATTCATTTCCATAGGAGTACACATACAAACCATGCTAGGTAGTTAATATTCACTTCCATAGGAGTACACAACAATCCTTATTCCATCAAACCATGCTAGAAGAAGTTGATATTCACTTCCATCGGAGAACACATTACAGCGATACAGTAATTTTGCCATTGGTAAAGGAAAAAAAGCTATGGAAAAAAAAGAAAATCGCTTTATGAAATGTTGAACATGATGTTATGAAAGGATAAAAGGATAAAAGAGATGAAAAGGAAAAGGATTTTGGACAAGGTTTAATCTATATAAATGTTTTGAAATTAAATAATAAAATTATTTTTTTCAGTTACTTTGTGAGCTACTTGAACAGGAACTACTCGTCTTCTTCTTTATCCATCCTCACTACCCTAAACCCTCCAGTAGTTGGGAGCTCATCCAGATCTATACAATAATACAGTTCTCTGCCTCTGGAGTACTAGTTATCAGGAGTACATATTGTACCCTAAAATGCAGTTATCTTGATTAAGTGTTGTACTCTGGAGTACATCTACTTTTCTTGAGTATGGATTGTTCTTAAGAGATTGTGCACTCCAAATCAAGTATTGTACTCTGGAGCATGTATCTACTGCGAACTCTTACAGTACATCTAGTTCGCTAGATAATGTATTGTACTCCGGAGACGGTATTGTGCTGTAGAGTAAATCCAGTTCTCTGATGTGCATCCTGTTATCTGGAGCACATAATGTTCTCAGGAGTACATTTTGTATTTAACACAGAACACTCCTGAGTACTTGAAGATGACTGGAGTACAGTTAGTGAATACACCTCTCTGTGAAACTATATTCCATTTACTGTTCAAGTTTGTTGTAATTCTAATATTTTATATTTGTTTCTTATATTTTCATGCGGACAGTGTAACCCCCCCTCCCCCAGGTAACTGACCTGAATGTTTGCCATGAGGTGAACTAAAATGTTTCTCTCACAAAGCTTTGCATCTCTTTTTACAGCTGGAGGTTGGGACCCAAGTTGACCTACTAGGCGACCCAGGCCAAGACCATTTCAACTAGTTGGCTGATTTTTGTCTTTTTTGACCTTTTACAGGCATTTAAAGTATATCCCCCTGGTCCAGCCAGGCCTGGTCGTTTTCTGGGATTTAAAACTTATTGTTGACGCAGTGTAGCCTGTAGGTGTTATTCAGACTTAATATTTAACATTTGTATCAATTAATTAGAGTGATACTCGAGAGCAGAACAGCATGGGCACAAGGTTAGCCTTTATGCCGGACAGTTGCAAATTCTTAACCTTTATGTAAAGATGCGAACCCATATTTATGAAAGCACTAATGCTTTAAATACATTTTGGCTAACTTGATGTAAATGCAGTGGCCTGCTGGACATGTGTTTATGTATCTGGACTAACCTCGTTGCTTACCTGGTCACGTGATGGGACGTATGTGTGTCCCAAAACTTTATTTTCAAAAATGTTTCCTCTACTGTTTCGCTTTGATGCTCCAATTCTGGATTTTATTAACTCTGCATTCATCCCCTTAATTGATAAACTTGCTAAGTCACTCAATTCATTATTTGTTCAAATTTTATTAAAATTAATGTCTAATCCTTTCATCTTTCATCTTTTAGTTAACCCAACTGACATCAGTCGTTAAAAAAATCTTATTTTATCAATTTCCACTCATAATCTTATGCCTGATCTTTATTTTTTAAAATCTACGAAATGTCTAGATTCCCTATTTGTAAAATCCACTGTTAAAAAGTTGTTCTTGCTTATACTGGCATGAAAGCCTTGAAATATTAGGCTTTTCCCATGCTTTTTGTTTAACACGCTACACGCTCCAATATTGTGAATTTTCGTCCACTTAGCTCTTTTTAGCAGATGTAAATCAAAAACGAAAATTTTCTTGTCTTGGAAAACATGGCGTATTGTTGTTTTTATTGTATTCGTTGCAACTTTTCGTGATACAGATAATTCAGCATGTACTTTTTTAAGAGGCCGTCATGACTTTAACTTTTCTTGGTTTCCCTAAATTTTCCGAATCCGTTATACACCGGAAACCCCCCAAACCAAACAAAACCAAATCAAACCGCGGGTCAACTGATTTTTCTGCTTCGTCATGATTCTCTATTTTATCAGCTGATATTTCCTAAGTGTACTGTGTACTGTGTACCACTTCCTAGTCCAGCACCAAACCCAATATATTTGCACTTTTTTTCCTGAACAAACAAACCACCCTATATTTAATTTTAGGGAAATATTTACAAGCGCCCTCGTGTTTTATCTAAGAATATGTGAAAAAAGTTACAACACTCAAAACTCCCTACCCCCATTATACATGATATATAACTTCCTTGGTTCATATCTCCATAAAATGTATCAAGTCTTAATTCTATCCAAGAATGGTTTTAAGATTTATATGTTTGCATCATTAGATTTTAGATAATTATTTAATGAGATGATATCAAAAGGCCGATTTTAAATGGTTTAACCACCAACTAATTAACGACTTCTGCACATCACAAATTTTTAAGTTTAAAAAATATCTCGGTCTGACTGTAGTGTATAGATGAAAACAGATCAAAGTTCTTAAATCAGGATAACTAAACATTATCTAATAATTTAATTAATCTAATCTAAGATCAATGGATTTGTGAATTGGAAATGTTTAAAAGCTCGCTTTAGATGTTTAAACTGTTATTTCCTGTGATATTCTAGTCCCTTCACAATCTTCACTTCTTAACCCTTTTATCCCTAATATAATAACAGCAGGGATTTATCTATTTTAAATAATTTACTAACAATACATGGTCCGGTGCACTTTAGCACCTTTGGGATTGGAACCATTGGAACGATGAAAAGATGGAACTATTGGAACTTTAGGAGGGGTGGAACTATTGGAACTATAGATAAAATGGAACCATTGATACTGTAGGTAGATAGGAACCGATGGAACCGTAAAAACCAATTACCAATTGTATTTACTATGATCAACCGAGCCATCGAAATCATTGTAACCAAAGAAAACATTAAATGCATAATGAAACCATGATAACCTTTGGAATCATCTAAACCTTTGAAATCTGTAGAACCAATACAACCATTAAACCCCTGTTAATCTGAGAACCAAGGTCTACAGAACCATAGGAACCTGTCTATTTATTCAAGCAGCCCTCATTTTGAAAAAAATGCCCTAACAGTAACTTGTTTGCTCCTAATAAGCCCAAGAATGCAGTGACCAGTAAACAAATTTACTCATTGTATACAAATGATAAACATAAATCCCTTAAATCCCTTGACCCCTTGGCAAGGTTGGAATGAGTAGACTGGATTTTTAAGGCCTGAAATTTAACCCCCTCTGTTTAGTGTTATTTGATATTGGATATGTTCTATATAAATAAATATTTAACAATTTCAATCAAGAACTCGTTTTCTAAGAGTAGGAAGTATCCAGAGGTAGAGGGTAGAGATGTTAGGCACTCTCCAAAAGAGATGTTAGGTACTCTCCAGACTCCAAAAGCATTTTCCCAAGCGGCAGCTTCCCAAATGTTCAATTTCTCATGCTCGCAGAGGCCTAACTTAACCTTTGGGAAGTTGCCACTTGGAAAATGCCTTTGGGGAAATACCTAACACCCAAACAGAGATCTTAGAAGTTTTACCAATGTTTTGTTAGGCAAAACTTAAGATTCTTGTTTTGAGACAAACATTTTTTGTTTGAGAGGATCTAATTACTCACAACAAACTCTAATTTATCTAAGGTTTACATTATTAGGTTGCAAAGATATAATAATTAGATAATTACGGTTTGAGGCGAATCACTTTCCATATGGGTCTTCATATAAATAATGGTGAGAAAAGTAAATAAAACTTTATTATTGTTTTTTCAACTTAAAAAAGGGGAAAAATAATATTTTTCATGTGGATTACTTTTTCGTGTGACAAAATTTGAAATGATTTATTTTTACATATTTCAACATCAGTCACTTTTTTAATCATTTTTTTCTCGCTTTAATTTGGATCCGCATTACGCAAATCTAAGTATATTCTGGTATGGGTATATATAATCATAATAAATGCTTATATGTGTGTGCACTTTTTACAAAATAAAACTGCAAATTCTGCTTAATGTAATATTATAATGCTGCAGGGTTACCCACAAAGGATGAAACGTTAATGAAAAACTAAAATGGACTGTACGCGTAATTTCAAGTGACCCTTCATGCAACGTTTCACAATGATACCCTTAAATCCTTTATCTGATCACTAATATTGAAGATGTTGTCGTTTTTCTAGTTTTTAAAGTGTTAAATTTCTTTATGTTTTTCTACATTTTTGAAAAAAAAGAGTTTTCGAAATTGTAAACATTAATTTATAATTCATACTTGATCAGACAAAGAAAAGAGTATCGTTGTGAATCGGTCATTGCCATCTTATGCCATGGAGGGTAACATGGAGGGTAACATGGAGGGTAACATGGAGGGTAACATGGAGGGTAACATGGAGGGTAACTTGAAATTACGCTTTCTGCAGTCCCTTTAACAAGAGAAATAAGTTTTTAAAATATGAGATACATGTCGTCTTAGAAGTTTCATCCTTTGTTATGATGTATTCTCATTGAATCTAGTCTTCTTCGTCCCAGTTTGGTACATAACCATCCGTATAGGTAAAAGTAGGCACAAAACCTAAATAACATAGAGGAATAATAATAGAGAAGACTATATATTATTTATCTTTAAGAAATATACCTAGCAGGATACTTTCATCTGTCTACTATCTGGTTTATCCTATACTACCTGAATCTCCATCTATATAGTAGGATACTGTCATCAATCTACCATCTGGTTTATCCTATACTACCTGAATCTCCATCTATATAGTAGGATACTGTCATGAATCTACCATCTGGTTTATCCTATACTACCTGAATCCACATCTATATAGTAGGATACTGTCATGAATCTACCATCTGGTTTATCCTATACTACCTGAATCCACATCTATATAGTAGGATACTGTCATCAATCTACCATCTGGTTTATCCTATACTACCTGAATCCACATCTCTATAGTAGGATACTGTCATGAATCTACCATCTGGTTTATCCTATACTACCTGAATCTCCATCTATATAGTAGGATACTGTCATGAATCTACCACCTGGTTTATCCTATACTACCTGAATCTCCATCTCTATAGTAGAATACTGTCATCAATCTACTATCTGGTTTATCCTATACTACCTGAATCTCCATCTATATAGTAGGATACTGTCATCAATCTACCATCTGGTTTATCCTATACTACCTGAATCCACATCTATATAGTAGGATACTGTCATCAATCTACCATCTGGTTTATCCTATACTACCTGAATCTCCATCTATATAGTAGGATACTGTCATCAATCTACTATCTGGTTTATCCTATACTACCTGAATCCACATCTATATAGTAGGATACTGTCATCAATCTACTATCTGGTTTATCCTATACTACCTGAATCCACATCTATATAGTAGGATACTGTCATCAATCTACCATCTGGTTTATCCTATACTACCTGAATCCACATCTATATAGTAGGATACTGTCATCAATCTACCATCTGGTTTATCCTATACTACCTGAATCTCCATCTATATAGTAGGATACTGTCATCAATCTACCATCTGGTTGCCACACAGAGTAGGATCCTTCTACACGGCCTTCAGGAGGAATAATAAATTGTAAACACACACAGGTAGTAATTTTGGAATGAGAGTATTAACTATAGCAAATTGACTTGTACGACTATTTTTTAAGTTCTTCTCATCAGCTGACACCTTACAAAATGCCACATCGACCAATCACCCTTATTTTAAGTTTCACAATTCCTCCCTTTTAATATCTATATAAAGCAGTAGTCTTTAAAAAAAAGTTTTCATCTACAAAAGTTTTTTTCATTATGCTAAAAAGAGTCTTTACAGGGAAGAGGGATCGTCGATGAAATATTTAGCTATTTAATTCTGGTCTAACCTTTAAAAGTAGACCTAACATTCGAAAATGTACTCTGACACTTTTTCTAAGATTTTAAAGAAATTTCAAACATAATCTTAAGTAACTTTTTTGTTAAATCTGCAATTCTGTTGTTTATTCAGACATAAAAATAAAATCATATTTAAAATCTTTTTTTAAAAATCTTTTGAAAAGAGATCAAGCAAATTTTTGGAGAGTTTTTCTTTGATATCTTACAATAAATGTATGGAAAACCCTATTACCAGGATTATCCTGGGAAGCAGATTCATCTTGAGTCCAGTATATTCCCTCTGGTTCAGCTATCTTCTTGCTTACTCTATTCGAGAACTCATACTAATATACAACTATACAATATACAATATACAACATACAACAATACAATATACAACATACAACATACAACATACAACATAAGTACAAGATACAACATAAGTACAACATACAACATAAGTACAACATACAACATAAGTACAACATACAACATAAGTACAACATACAACAAAAGTACAGCATACAACATAAGAACAACATACAACGATATAACATTATTAGATAAATAAACTGAGAAAATCTACTGAAAATCAAAGCTATGCTTCACACTGCAACAGTAGCGTATTCAGTTGGGGGAAGGCCTCCCCCCCCCCTCCTACCCTCCCCTTAGAATTCTTGGGCGAAAGCAACAAGAGATAAAAAGAGGAGATTTTGCCCAAAAAGTGTAGATAAAAAATTTGATATTACACCAATATTAGCGTCATATGCAAGTATTGGTATATAGACATATTCCTTGAATAAAAGTAAGCTACTAAAGGTAAATAACTTTTGAGAAAATAAGAGCAAATTAGAAGGAACATCAACGGGATAGGGGAGGGGCGCAAAATACTTCCCCCCCCCTCCCTCTTGCTAAAATCCCTGTGTATATACTCTATACTCGATATTCACAATGGGACTTGAGAAAATTAAATGCTTAACTTCCGATCTCTCCTTGGCAGAGAACAGATGAGATGCAAGCTTTTAATGGAATTTTAATCCGTTGGACCAAGACCATACGGAGCAATGCTTCCTTAGAAGATTAACAAAACAAAATTTCCTAACTATAAAACTTTTGAATGACCGAAACTAAGTTTAATCGATCTGAATTGATCTGATTAACCTACCGGCATAGGTCCTGGATTCTCTTGATTATACTTCTGTGGAGCTGAGTCTGAATACCCGATGAGGAAAACTACCAAAGTTAGAAGAGAGAACATTTCTAACAAATAATTATACAAATTCATTTTTAATTTATAGGCAAAGAAGAGTAAGTATACAGGGTGTTTATTATTGTTCAAAATATTTCATATAATCACAGCTACAAGTTTTCAATTTTTACATAAAAATGATTTTTTTTTTTCGTATGTTTAAAACTTTGATATTTCAAACTTTCATTTGATCAAACAGAATCCATAGTTTGAAATATCTAAGGTCTACGACATTGAGTTGCAAAGATATAGGGATTAGAAAATCAAAGTTTGTGGCAAAGAATAATTTCGTTTTTTTCTTTAATTGACTGTAAAGCTAGGTAATTTCAAAATGTGATAGCAAAAATGTTGGATTTATTTTCTTTATACAAAATAAATGATTTTCGTCACTCTTCTCTGTAAAGTGACTTGTGGATTTATGCAACAGGAGAGAAAGAAGGAAATTGTCAGAATTAATCACTTTTCCAGATAGAAAAGGTTTAAACGGTACTGTTAGGAATCTGACATGACACTCTATTACTAAAAGGTCACTTGAAAGTACGTCTACAGACCTATTTTTCTAAAGTTTAAATATTTCAATACTTTTGATGATTTTGATGATTTTTAAGTGATTTCAAAAACGGTCTTCACTATCTATGGATACTTTTGGTATTCTTAAATACAGAACGTATAATATTTGGATTATGCGAAGGTTTAAATTGCAGTTTTATAATTAAGGACTTGATAATTTTAAGTGATGAATTCTTTTTTTCAAATTATTTTGACTTCTATGCATTCATATCTTGTCAAAAAATAATATCTGCTTAATAGACTTGTGATTGAATGTTGTAAAATTGTAAATAACTTTTTCGTTCTTTTAACCTTATCAAAATAAATTTAACCCTATCCCCGCTGGGGTACTTGAAAACCAGGATACGCTGGGGGGGGGTCAGGAATAGGGTTAAAACCATCTTTCCATTTCGTGTAAACGACTTTGTCGGAGCGACATTCATCAAATGTTAACCAAAGTTTCTACAACTTGTATAAATTTAAATTTAAGTTTAAAATTCCACTAAAACGCTCTTATAAAACGGCGGTAATTTCTTGATTTTTAAAATATAAAAATAATATTCTTACTGTATTGCCTGGTTGGCTGGTGAAGATGAAATGAGGCGGATTTCCGGCAAAATTGTAAATTTATCAAAGCTTTCATATTTTATCATGACGATACAAAACCTATTCATCAGGAACAAGATATTAAAAGAATTGCTTGAGTTTTTCTTTGTCATCTTTGAACACTAGATGCAGAGATAAGAGAGTTACAACTGGATGTCATCTTTTCAAGATTTAGGTTTTTTTCGTTCACAATAACCCCGAGGCAGGAGCCAAACAGATAATGATTGTGATGCCCATATCTAGGATATGTTAGGTTCATTATAATTTACGTAATTCAATAATTATTTAAGATATTTCTTTTAAAAAAAAAACTTGGATTATATCTTGGAAAACCAACTTTACCTGGAAAAAGAAACAATTTTTCAAACCAGGCTAATATTATTCCCATTTTTCAAACCAGGCTAATATTATTCCCATTTTTCAAACCAGGCTAATATTATTCCCATTTTTCAAACCAGGCTAATATTATTCCCATTTTTCAAACCAGGCTAATATTATTCCCATTTTTCAAACCAGGCTAATATTATTCCCATTTTTCAAACCAGGCTAATATTATTCCCATTTTTCAAACCAGGCTAATATTATTCCATTTTTCTAAAGAGATACTAAAGATAGATATTTACATATATTTCGACTAATGATAAAAAATTTTTAAACTTATCACAAACTACTATGCAATTCATTAATCAGGACCTGACTAGCCGACAAGGGAGATTTTAAAGAGGATCATGAGCTATGATTGGACATACAAACAAACAGAGATTACTACTTCATATACAGAAGCACGATACATTTCGACAACAGGCCAAAAAGGGGATTGAAATTTTTAAGGTTAAAAGACATAGCTCAACCATAGTTCATTTCAAGGCTGAATAGCCAGCAAGAGCTCTACATTACAAATACAACTATCTAAGGCAAACCTGGACAGTACGCCAAATGAATGGTCTCCTTTTAGTTAAAATTAAGTGGACACATATATTTACGTCTGGAGCTATGATTATGTTATTTTGCAACCCAAGATTTCTATCTTTTTAATATCGGCGTAACCCCCATATTATACTAGAAGGGCACATTTTGAATCCCTACTAAGCTAAGACCAATTCTGAAGCTTTTGTTTGCTTTAACACTAATAATGCCAATAGCTTCAACCGTTCCGATGTATCTAAGAAACAAGCCTAAAAGCAAGACAAAAATTTTAAATTTGACGACATATTACCAGAATTGTGATCTAATGATTTTAATTTTCCGTCTAATTTTTAAATGTAAACTTTCTAAAAGCAATCACATTCAAACTTGCTTCTGTAACATCATGCATTAGCTAATTTTCAGCACTATAGATCTTGTGATTTACCTTTCCTATATCTAGAGAGTGCAGTGCCCAACTGTTTTCCTATATCTAGAGAGTGCGCCCAACTGTTTCCACCGTTGGGAAGTTTACTAGATATAAACAAACAAATAAACTACCAATATATTCAGAGATGCTTTAAAAGATAGCAAAAATTGTTTTTTGTAATTAAACTGGAACTTATCTACAAATTTCGTTGTCAAAAATATATTCTTTTTACAAAATGTTTTTACTGCGCTTCAACAACTTTGTACTAATTATTATTGTACATGACTTTATTGAAAAAAGAAATACAGTTTTATTAATGTTTAACATAGTGATAATATGTATATTCAAATATTTTCAAAAACTTCTGCTCTCATCTAACTGCTGTAAATGCTCGTTCAATCTCTAAATTTATGAATTAAAAATATGTTATCAAAATTAGAAAATTAACTTTAATCAAAATATTTAAGAATTAAATTTAAAAGATATTAAAGTGCTTAAGTATTCTGAAATATGGGAAATTCCAAGTGTTTTTGGCCAAAAAATCAAATTTTCCGATTCTCATATCTTTGCAACCCAAAGGCCTAGAGCATTTACTATGAATTCTGTCAGATGAAATAATCTAATTACGTTTAAAATATTGAAAGGAGAAAATTTGAATTTGTGTTAAAAACTCAATTCCTTTCTAAGAATAAGTTGAATAGATCTATAAGTTGTAAATACATTTTTTATTCCATGCTAAAAAATTACACACCAGAGCCCTAAACGACACTTAAGACAGAGAATCGTAAAGAAACCCAGTTCCTGAAACCCGGTTTCATTAATGGGGTCAAGCTGTTTTGTAAATACCAATATTTTTCTTACGAAATATTATTTTATGCTGTTTCTTTACACTCTCTTTTGTTTTCTGATTTCTTAGACTAAAATCTAAGCAAATGAATCGGCCCCAAAAAGGAAACTCGGGAGTTTCGTTCAACGATACTCTTTTAAATTATTTACTCTTTTAAATTTCTGGCTCAGGACCACCTTATTTATGTTTACAAATACAGTGCACAGCATGTTATTGACAACCCAAGGTCGTTTATTAAGATTAAATACTCTGGTTGCGCTCCAATGTGCAGAAAATGTCGTCTTCATAGCAATAGACAATCAAAATCCTCATGGTGGAAGGATTTTCTCCGCTTCTACAGCTGACAAGCAGAAAAAATACTCTCCCCCCCCCTCCCCTTAGCAAACACGTTGTCACTTCAGCTCCTGCCACTAAGCAGCTACGTCATGAGGATTTTGAGTGTCCATTGCTATGAAGACGACATTTTCCGTAGATTGAAGTGCATTCAAAGTATCTAACCTTCAGGCACCTAGACAACCTGTGCAAGATTGTTAACATCCCTCCCAGAAACTTTAGTACACTTTTTTTGTTAACAAGGATATGAGTGTGCCTGCGGTACTTTCCTGCGTATTGCACAGTACTGCAGTGTTTACATTTCACCCAAACAAATTGTAAATAAATTCAGTGGAAGTTATTTCAGATTTTAGAAAATTATCAGAACAAATATTTAAACCTTTGACTGTTTCAGTTTTCGCAGTAATCTTGAGAGTTTTATTCTTTTTGGTAGATTCATGGACTCCAGAATACAAGGGGGAAGGTGAGCATCTTCAAACTAAACAGATTTATTCATGGAGTCCATCTTCAAACTAAACAAATATATTCATGGACTACAGAATACCAGGGCACACAAACTAAACTAAAAGTCTCTAAAGATGACTTTTCATTATGACTTTATAGATGTTTAAGAAAAGGAGAATCTATAGAAAGAGATATCAAGTTCTCCAAAATGTTGATATTACTTCTTAAGATTTTTAAATAAATTCTACATTAGTAAATTGAATTTGGTTCATTCTGTCATTTTTGAAGGTGTAATTAGTAATTTCACAATGTCTTTTCCCTAGGGCAACTTTCCAAGCGACAATTTCCTTAAAACGTACGTTTAAGGATAGGTTAGGATTCTGACGTGCTGCATGCTGCATTTGGGGGCCGAGCAGTGCGGCAAAAAGTAGCCGCTTGGGAAATTGCAAATTGCAAATTGCTGGGGAAGTTCCCGCTTGGGAAAATGCCCTAGGGAAAGTACTTTTTTATCATTTTAAAACCTACCAGAAATGGTTGAAGAAAGTCTGATTTTCCTGTTATAAATCAAATAAATTTGTACCTCGAGCTGCAGTATTGAAGAGAGAATTTTTTCAACTGATTCTGCAGATACATAAGTTGTTTCCTGCTCAATATTCAATATATGTACAGGGTTGCCCCAAAAAACAGGAATTACGGGTTTTCATCTTTAAAAAAAGACTCGAAAATGGGCTGGATCACATAGTTTTAAATGGGGTCGTTGAAGTACGTTTGTATCGTTAGATCCTTCTATTTACCGGAAAACTATGTCGAATATTTGAAAATATTGTTTAAGAAACAAAAAAAAATGGCTTACAGTTATCTGAACCCAGTTAGAATTTTCTTCTAGGCTTTCTGAAATCCAAAGTATATCGGTAGTTTTAAACCTAGATCTCTATGAAGAGAAGCGTCAAGAGAGGGGTTGCAGTAATCCCAACCCCATGGTTGAGAACAGCTTTCATGGACCTCAGAACTTTTTTTGCACGACATCAAATTGGGGCCTCTTTAAGAAATAATTTGAATTATAAACATCAAAGTAGGGTTGTTAATCGTTTTTGTAAACGATCGTTTTTTGTTTCGTTTTCAAAAACGATCGTTTCGTTTTCGGAAAAAAACGTTCGTTTCTAAAAACGACCCACTCGTTTTAAACTTTTAGAAAATGAATAGCGATCTTTTTTGAAAACGATCGTTTTTATTAAAACGATTTGCGACCGTTTTTAATACGATTGTTTTTAAAGAAACGATCGTTTTTGAAAAAAAATTTTATTGATTATTATTTTAACGATCGTTAACGAAGGGTCGACGTTAACGATCGTTAACGAAGGGTCATCGTTAACGATCGTTAACAAAGGGTCGTCGTTAACGATCGTTAACGAAAGGTCGTCGTTAACGATCCTTAACGAAGGGTTGTCGTTAACGATCGTTAACGAAACGACGAACTTTATCAAAACGGTCGTTTTAGAAAAAAAATTACATGCAACTTTATTGAATGTCGTCTTACATGAAGTTTAACAGTTGTAGGGGAGTTAAAACTCATCGATATTTTCTTAAAAACTACTCAATGATAAGTACAGATGCCCTTCAGATCGGTTTCCTCACTTCGTTAACGATCGTTAACGAAGGGGTCGTCATTAACGATCGTAAACGAAGGGTTGTCATTAACGATCGTTAACGAAGGGTCGTCGTTAACGATCGTTAACGAAGGTTGTCGTTAACGATGGGTTGTCGTTAACGATCGTTAACGAAGGTCCGTCTTTAACAATCGTTAACGAAGGGTCGTCGTTAACAATCGTTAACTAAACGACGAATTTTATAAAAACGATCGTTTTGAAAAACGATCGTTTTTAAAAACGATCGTTTTAAAAACGATCGTTTTAAAAACGACCATTTTTAAAAAACGAACTTTTTAAAAAACGATCGTTTTTAAAAACGATCGTTTCGTTTTCGATTTTTCGTCGTCGTTTTCATAACGAAACGATCGTTTTTCTGAAAAATGAAAACGTTAACATCCCTACATCAAAGTAATCTAATTAAGTATTATTACATTTCTAAGCATATTTTTTTCTCTATGCAATATAGATTTGAACAGAAGAAAAGAAGGTATTAAATGTTCAAAGTAAACAGCAAGGTTTTCGATCATTTGACGAACGGAAGCACTAAACTACAAAATTTTACCTAAACGACCCCTGCTAAAATTAAAAACTTTATGTTTCAGCACTTTTTTAAAAACGCTAATCCCTGTTTTTTTGGGACACCCTGTAGAATTGTAGATTAATTGTAGTAATTTGTAGAAAAACCCACAATTTAGAATAATAAGTTTTCGAAATTGTAAACATTGATATCTAATTCATACTTGATCAGACAAAGCTTTAAAGGGTACAGTTGTGAATCGGGCATTGCCATCTGTGCATGAAGGGTCACTTGAAATTACGCTTACAGTCCTTTTAATCTTAATGTTAAACTTGAAAACATTAAGATATTTAAAAATATGAAAATCTCCAACCTCTTCAAAAATCCGTTCCAAGATCCAGACTATTCTATTGCGAGGCTGTATACACAATTCCTAATTAGTTTTCTTATTAGAGTAAATAATATTGAGTGTTTACCTCCCCCCCCCTTCACCACTTATACCACTAATCTTATATTATTATCATTGATAAAACTGGTCAACTAAGGCGGTGTGATAGGGTTAAAATATCTTGGGTCTACGACATCGGGTTGCAAAGGATTACAAATTAGAGTTTGTGACAAAAACCCAGTTACTTTCAAACTCGACCAATCATATACCCGGTCCAATTATTTTATGACTTTTATATGATATAGAACACGTTCCCGCAATTTTTAACGTTAACAATTCCAAACCGGTTTGTTCAACATTATTATATTAAAAAATATATTTACCTCAACCTGTGTGATTAATGTAAACTGAATAAAGTCTATGAATTCTCCTCCTGGTGTAACAAAAATATTGCTATTCATCAAATTTGCTGCAAAGTTCAAAGTAAAAAAAAAACTTTAATTCAAAACTAGAACAAAACTAAACTTCCCTTTAAAACAAATCATTGCCTAAATCATTCACTTTATCATACGTCAAATAAAGTATTGTTTTTCATAAAAATAATTATAGTCTAAAAAATCACTTTAGACTTTAATTATTGTATTTTAAGACACCCTTAGAAAACTAGACAGTTAGAAGTGGTAGAAGGAATAACCAAATAAAGGATTATTCGTCAAGTACGTCATGTACGTCATGTACGTCAAGTACGTCAAGTACGTCAGAAAAATATTACAAGGAAAAATTTATTTAAAGATAAAAAGGATTATTTTGAATGGATGAACGTAAAGAAAATATTTGAATTATAAATATGTTGTTTCCTCCGAAAAGATTGAAAACATTTTCAACAAATCTGGGAATCTCCAGGTTTCCTGAAAAATATTTTTATTTAAATAACATCATAAAAACTCTTAGAAAACATTTAATTTTATGAATATTAAAAGTCTAGCGAACTTAAAATTAAAGCATTAGAAGGAGTTCTCAGCTAATATTTACCATTGGACAACGATTCCAAAGTTAATATTTATCATTGGACAAGGATCCCTCAGCTAATATTTACCATTGGACAAGGATTCCTCAGCAAATATTTACCATTGGATAAGGATTTCTCAGCTAATATTTACCGTTGGAAAGGATTCCTCAGCTAATTTTCACCATTAGACAAGGATTCTCCTGTTAATATTTACCATTGGACAAGGATTCCTCTGCTAATATTTACAATTGGACAAGGATCCCTCAGCTAATAATTACCATTAGACAAAGATTCCTCAGCTAATATTCACCATTGGACAAGGATCCCTCAGCTAATATTTACCATGGGACAAGGATTTCTCAGCAAATATTTACCATTGGACAAGGATTTCTCAGGTAATATTCACCATTGGATAAGGATTCTCCTCTTAATATTTACCATTGGACAAGGATTCTCCTGTTAATATTTACCATTGGACAAGGATTCTCCTGTTAATATTTTCCATTGGACAAGGATTCTTCTGTTAACATTACCATTGGACAAGACAAGGATCCCTCAGCTAATATTTACCGTTGGACAAGGATTTCTCAGCTAATATTTACCATGGGACAAGTATTTCTCAGCTAATATTTACCATTGGACAAGGATTCTCCTGTTAATATTTACCATTGGACAAGGATTCTCCTGTTAATATTTACCATTGGACAAGGATTCCTCTGCTAATTCTTCAAACTCTGTTCTAGACATTACTCCTGAAATATTCATACATTTATTCCTTACATTTATTATTCATTAATACATGAATTTTAGATTTTTAGATGCAAAAATATAGTTTAAAGAAAAGTTTTGTAGTACTTAATTTATTTTAAAAAATGTAATTCTTGAACGATTTTTAATGATTCGCTCTCATATCCCTTCACCCCCCCCCCCTTTGCTCTGAGAAACCATCTTTTTAACATGAAAAAGTATGCAATTACCATCTGGGAAGTTTTGGCAAAATATTTGATGTTTATTTTTCAACTCCAACTCTGACATAACTAATCTCTCTGCGCACCTCCTTTATCGCAGAAAATAAAACAGAATACCTCCCCCCCCCCTGCTATTGCCACTTTTTTATATTTTTGGAATATTTCCCTAGGAAAGTTTGGTTTATGTTTCCGATCCTCGGAAAAGTTTAGAGTTTTTGGTTTCTTTCAGAAATTGACAGAAACTATTTCTTAGGGGTAATTTCAAGTAACCTTCCGTTGGTAAAGGGCGTGTTCAATTCACATTAGAATCCTTGACAACTTTAATTGATAAAAAAGAAACAAAATTATTCTAAATTATTTACAGAAACGTTTGATTATTGATTACTTTGTTAGCAAGCTGTTTTACTTTTAAAATATGTTAATATTACTTTTTATCATACAATTAAAACTTTAATTCTTAAAATCTAGCAGAGGAAAAAAATCAGAAGGGATAGTTTTATTTGAGGGCAGAATAGTGACGATTTGGAAGGAAAAGGTTTGGTTTGAAAGCTAATTATATAATTGATTCCGAAGGCGGAATGAGAAAGAACAATATTGGTTTATGGTATATTTGTTTATTTCCTTGTGTCTATTTTGTCCAGAGTTTTCATTTGTCTGAAAAAAAACTCGATTTAGATGGTGAACTCTTCCGATTAACTGATCAACTGATTTTCTGATCAACTGATTTTCTGATCATCTGATTTCTTGCTTTCTTATTTCCTGATTTTATCAACTTTCTGGTTTACTATTCTCTTGATTTATCAACCTTCTTGTTTACTATTCTCCTGATTTATCAACATTCTTGTTTACTATTCTCCTGATTTATCAACCTTCGTGTTTACTATTCTCCTGATTTATCAACCTTCTTGTTTACTAATTTCCTGATTTTTCAACTTTCTGGTTTACTAATTTCCTGATCTATTAACTTTCTGTTTTACTTATTTCCTGATCTATTAACTTTCTGTTTTACTTATTTCCTGATCTTATAAACTTTCTGGTTTAATAATTTTCTGGTCGATACACTGATATTTATTTCTAAAAAGGAAGAAAGTTTTTTATTTGATTTGTTCCACTTTAACTTTTTGTCAACAGTTTTGTTTTCAGTATTATCATGAGCACTATTTATATTAACCTTCTAGTCTCCATATCTACAAACATGCCTCCTTATGTATGTTCTATTCATGCCTTAATCTTACATATTTGTGCAGTCCATAGATAAATAAATAAACATAGATAGCTTAGGTACGCAAAATCACCAAGAATTGTACAGTCCGCGAACTCATACTTCAAAGGGGTCAAAGTGTGCTTCAATGATAAGCGGGGTGGTTTGGTGTTTCAATGGATTTCATAATAGAGTGTAAAATAACTCCGGGAATGGAACTATTTAAACAACAATATTTCACTGAGCAACATATCATATTGACGAGAACTGAAGAAGGACATGAGAAGGACTAAACTAACATAAATTTCTCTCTGCAGAACTCATGTACACCACAAGTACTCAATGACATAAGAACAGCCAATGTTCACAACCGACCTAGTAAATCTATATAATAGGAATATCTTTAAAACATCTCTGTACATTTAAATCTTTCAAGATGAAAAATGTCGTCTTATGCGCAATCTATCTTTATTTATGGTGCAGTCTTGGTCACCTTCCTGTATTCAAGTATTTGCTTTCATTTTCAAGTACTTTTCGAGAGTTAAAACATTGTTTGCAGCCCCATAGCAGATGTCAATCTCATTAAAATCATCAACAAAGGAGCCTTGCGAATTTGGTTTGAGAAACTTTGAATTATGTCGAGGACGGTTTCTTGGGTTTTTGTGGATTTTTTTCTGCTCAGACATTTCCTCGTTCTGCTAACAATCTCCATTACACTTTTTCCCTTTTAGTCCACTTGTAGACTATTGCCGTGCCCATGATTATTCTCCTCTGATGCACTTTGGATCATGTCAAGGGTGTCTGCTTTACTTTTGGAAAGTTTTAGAATATGGAAGTGTGTATATGATCGAATAGTTAAAAAGGTATCAATATTTTTTCAAAAAAGAGGTTTATAAGGGGGGCACAATGTTTCCAAGGGGGGGGGCACAAAAATGTGCTCCCCCTACAGAAATGCTCTCGTACGAGCCTGCTTACTAGTAATCATACTGAGGTACAGGGGCGTAGTGAGGGGGCCGGTACCCCTGTGCCCCCAAGACATGCACCCCCTAGGCCCCCCTCCCTAGAGCCAGAGGCAGGCTCTAATATATTAAACTCACATATATATTCAGATTTTTTTACTTTTCTTATCAATCGACAATGTCACATTTGTCCATTTTATGATATTTCTCAAATTCTTTCTTGTGCCTTAATCTTATTTACAATATTTTTTCGCGGGGTTTCATTTAAAATCCATTTCAGTCTCTCAGAGCAAGATGATTGACGCAGAGTTTTATTAAGCTTTAAATAATTCTGTCTCCAGTGTACTCTACTGTGGCGCAACCATGTTTCGACCCCCCTCAGCATATTTCGCCCCCTCTCGCCCCCCACCCCTCACTTGGCTCCAGCATGATCATGATTGTGAATCATCTTTTATCAAATTTTGTCAATTAAGAAAAAATATCAAAATTTTTCTTTGGCACTTCTCGTTTTTGACTTAAAGAAATTATCTTAATGATGAAAATGTTTTCTTTGCCGCACATGGGCTTGATAAATTTAAGTTTTTTTCAAGCGGTTCATAGCGACAATTACACAAAAATTGTTCTGAGAAAAAATTTGTTGTAATTTTGAAATTTGTTATTTTCTATTGGTACAATATCACAAGATTACAAGGATAGGATAGATTTCAAAAAAAGATTGAATAAAAATAAAACAAGAAATAATTAAATAAAAACCACATCATTATTTTTCTAACTTTTTTAAAACATGTAACATTGTTTTATATTTAAACATGCATGAAATAAAATATTTAAAAAAATTTATGACGAAAAGTTAATACAATATAAAACACTATAATATTATATATGATATGTATTTATATTTATATCGGATGTTTAAGACTTTATTATGGAGTTTAATATTACTGCAACAGTTCAAATCAATTGAATTAAGTATGCGTAAGATTTAAATAGAAAATTCCTATCTCGTTAGTCTCTGTATATCATTATTAATTTTATCAGTAAAATGGAGCTTTAAAAAGTACTAAAATGCGTAAGTAAAAGATTTTTGGCTCATAAAACATTTTATCTTGTTTTTTTTCGTTTCCCCGCGCGCAATTTGTCCTATATTACGATTTTACCTATTTTTCCTTTTAAACCCACTCAATTTAGAAACTTAAAACCAAGCTAAGAAAAATCTCGTGGTTCTCCCGAGTTCCCTATTAAAAATGTGAGACAAATCGGTTAATGTTTCACGAGTTATGATAGGAAATAAAACAGACGGACAAACAATTGATTACAATTTTTATAAACATAAACATTTTTGATTTTGTACAGAACAAATAATGTTTTCCTCTAAAGGGCAGATGTTTTTAAGGACAAAAGAAGTTTTCTTCAAAAGCAGATGATTTTTAGGACAAATGATATTTTCTTCTGAAGGACAGATGATTTTTAGGACAATTGATGATGTTTTCTTCTAAAGGACAGATGATTTCCAGGACAACTGATCTATGATAGACAGCTGACTTATATGAAATTATTCCAATAAAAATGTTGAAAGGACAAATGAAATGTAAGAAGTGTGATTTAATATTAACAAAAGTTCTGTAGTAAACAACGGATATTTCAAAAGTTCAACTTGTAGGCCAGGGAATATAGGATTTAAAATCGATAATATTGAAAAAATTGAGCAACTTAGGATCCACCTGGAAACTGAAGAGGGAGGGGGGGGGATTTCCAATACTTATCTTTTAGGTGGAGCATTATGATTTAATTAAGGTAATTAAAAGTTACTTCAGCCGTCTACCCGCACTTGAATGATTTTACCAGATTTTACAAAATTTTTGCTATGAAAGTCGACCCACTTATTTTAGAATCTTTTAACCAAGCTAAGAACATATCTGTGGGCCTCCCGAATTCCCCAATAAAAATTTGAGGCGAATCAGTCCAGGGGTTCCTGAGTTATGATCGGACAAACAAACAGACAGCAAACAAGGATACAAGTATAGTCGGTATACCCGAGTAGACGTGTGTGAGTGAGCACCAGATGGCTGGTTAACTGGGAATTCTACCCTTTAGACAGTATATAAAAACCTGTCACTCTGAACTCTTAACACAAACATATAAAATGGCGAATCTTCTTCTTTCCCTAGTTACGCTTTTAAAGTACTGTGCTCCATCAATCAATAGTGTAGATCACTAAAATGTAAACTGTCACCTCTTCACCATCATATATCAAGATGTAAGGATCCAGCAGATTTAGCAACATTAGGAGACCAGCTCCCCACTCTTCTTACTGAATTCCTGGAAGAAAACAAAGAACTGTTTGCTGAGGAGGAAAAAACAGCATTCAAGATCCTAATAAGACCCTGACAGAACTTCAACATCAAAACAAGTTTAGAGCGAAAGCCTTTTCCAGAGCCGGCACTGATGAGGACAGGAAAAAATTCCATGCCTGTCTGAAATCAATTAGTGAGCATAGAAAAGTTGAAAAAAGAAGACTCCTTCTAAAAACTAACAAACACCAAGAAAAAAAGTCTCACAAAAACCCTTGGGATTTTTCTGAACAAGCTGTCAAGGGATCATTACTACAGGAGAAATTGAAACCAACCTTTGACCTAGGATTTGCAAACAGAAAAAACCGGAAAAATACAGCACACCCGGTATCATAGACATGAACAGTTTATACTGGTTCCCCTTTGTGTCAATAACCCACGAATCTCAGAGATTCACCTTTGTATCAACACCCTGTATAATAATTTTATTATTATTATTAATTTAAAAGAGGAGTATTCCAAGGTAACCCGCTTAGTCCCATCATATTTCTGATGGTTTTCAATCAAATCATTTAATTTCTACGGAGTAAGATTGATTGTGAATTTAATCTGAATGGAGATAAAATTATTACTCTGGCCTATGCTGACGATTTTTGCCTGATAACAACAGATCTCTTAAAGAATAAAAAATTCAAAATGAAATAAAATCCAAGATTGAAAGTATGAGAATGAGATTAAACCAGCACAATGTAGATCATTTTCCATCAGATCAGGTGTACCTAGCAGAATAAACTTTACTATTGGTGAAACTGAAATTCCAAATATATTTCAAAAAGAGCAAAAATTCCTTCGCAAACTTCTATTTCCTACTGGTAAACTTAGTGATGCGTTCGATTACATCAAGAGTGAATTTGAAACAAAACTCATAAATATAAATGCACTTCTTATTCGGGATGAATATTAAGTCTGGATCTACAAACATTATTTCATTCCTTCTATTAGATTTCTGCTCACTGTTCATACAATATCACAGAGTCATCTGAAGAAACTAGACACATTCACTGATAAATTTGTGAAAAAATGGACTGAATTACCATCCTGTGCAACAAATGCTGCGCTACACTTGAAACCTGGCGTAGACATCACTTCAATATCCACCTTGTTCAAAACAACTATGACGCAAGCATACACTAGGATAAGAATTGTTCAGCAAAAGCGCAAATTCAATCTTTAAATTCTCACAGAAAAAAACTGGTTTAGAAAATTAAAATTAGATATTATCATCGAAAATAAAAAATCTTATTCAGTTATTGGTTTCTGTAATGTTTCATTGTTCCAAAACATATTCTGTAGTTTTCTTGCATTTTTATTGAAAATTTCAATTGAAAAATATGTTCCTAAACATCTGATAAGATTACTGTAGAATTTTTTTTACATTTTTGTCGTCGTTACTTAATAATTTAATAAAAATCTGTTCTTAAAACGTAACCACCCAAATAGATGATTATGAACGTCGACATTGCGCTCAAACTCAGTAATTAAACGCTATTAAAACGTTTTATATGTCTCAAATGAATTCTAAAAAAATTCCCACGATACTACATTCTCAGTTCGACTACCATACATTGCCGGTCACTCCCTTTAAGTATTGCGAAATGTTCTAGTTTTGTAAAGAAGAAAGGTTTATAAAAATCTCCGCTTTTAAGAATTGTAAAAGCTTAAATTGTCAAGTTAACAAACAATGGAATTGGGGTCAAAATATTCCCCACTGATTTATACAATAAAATATAAATATAAATTTTTTTAAATCTTTTTTCTTTTTTATTATATTTTCCTGTGATTTTTGTAAATTTTCTTAAAATCAATTAGGATATTTTAGACTTTTGGAAATCCCAAAGTTTTCCAATTTAAATTTTCTTCTCTAAAAATTATATTTATAATTATACATTTATAGAAAGATATATAGGAATTGAGTTTTTGCCATCTAATCTCTATATCTTTGCGACCCAATGTCGTAGATCTTAGATATTTTAAACTATGAACTCTGTTCGATTGAATAGTCGTAGTTTGAAATATCAAAGGTTCTACACCATCGGGTTGCAAAGATATATGGATTAGAACATTTGAATTTGTGGCTAAAACTCAATTCCTTCACATTTTTTATCAAGTTTTAGTTTTTAAACCAACACATCGGCCCATTGGCCCTCTCTAACGCAATCCTAGGTTTTATTGTATAAAATCAGTTGAACAGTCCTGAAATGTCTGGATGAACAAACAAACTATTTAGTCAATGCTTTGATGCCAACCAGTTATAAAGTCCAAATTACCTGATTTACCTTGTATTGGTGACTTGTTTTCCGATATGTGTAGAATGGTTTATATAAAGTGTATATATTACTACTAACTATAGAAAATTCTACTGGTTTATATAAAGTGTATATTACTACTAACTATAGAAAATTCTACTGGTTTATATAAAGTGTATATTACTGCTAACTATAGAAAATTCTACTGGTTTATATAAAGTGTATATTATTGCTAACTATAGAAAATTCTACTGGTTTATATAAAGTGTATATTACTGCTAACTATAGAAAATTCTACTGGTTTATATAAAGTGTATATTACTACTAACTATAGAAAATTCTACTGGTTTATTTAAAGTGTATATTACTACTAACTATAGAAAATTCTACTGGTTTATATAAAGTGTATTTTACTGCTAACTATAGAAAATTCTACTGAAGACTGTAGAGTGTAGAGTAAACTCCTAGGGGAAATATTACAACTTTGAACTCAATATTCCCCCTCATGCAAACATTACAAACACTACATACACAACAAACATTATTTACAGTGTTCACAACAAACACTATATACACAAAAAACATTATGTACACAACAAACATTATATACACAACAACCATTTTGTACACAACAAACATTCAGTACACAACAACCATTATGTACACAACAAACACTATATACACAACAAACACTATATACACAACAACCATTATATACACAACAAACATTATATACACAACAAGCATTATATACACAACAACCAAAATGTACACAACAACCATTATATACAAAACAACCATTATATACAAAACAAACATTATATACACAACAACCATTATAAACACAACAACCATTATACACACAACAAACATTATGTACACAACAACCACTATGTACACAACAAACATTTTATACACAACTAACATTATATACACAACAAACATTATATACACAACAACCACTATGTACACAACAAACATTTTCTACACAACTAACATTATGTACACAACAAACATTATATACACAACAACTATTATGTACACAACAAACATTAGATACACAACAAATATTATATACACAACAACCATTTTATACACAACAACCTTTATATACACAACAAACATTCTATACACAATAAACATTATATACACAACTAACATTATATACACAACAAACATTATATGCACAACAAACATTTCAAACAAAACAAGCATTATATACACAAAAACAGTACATTCACTATATATACACTGCTTAAATCCGTCAGTCACTTAGATGGAGAAAAACTAAAAATAAAAGTTTGTTTAAGGGAAGAATCGAATATTTCTGTTATTTTTGCTGAATAAAATGTGTGACAAGGTTACCCCCCCCCCCCCAACATATAGATTAAGTAGTTGTCTCCGCAGTGTTGGAATACACTTATTTAAGTGGAAACAAACTTAAAACAAATTAATTAGCAACTTTTGATTATTATTGTTTTATAAGTGTTTTCGTCTCGAGAAATCAACTTCATACTTTTTAAGATGTGTTGTGGGGGAAATCTTTTTTTTACAGTCCAGGTTAAAAAATTAATTTTCAGAAGATTTTTTAGATTAGCGGCAAAATAAAAGTTATTCGTAAGAAAAATATTTTCAATAAGTTTGAAGCATTTTGAAAAGAATATTTATATGGTTGGATTTGTTTTAGTAATGAATATCTAGTTACATCAAATACAAATACTAATCAACGGAAAATATTTTTTTTTTTTTTATATTGCTAAGTAATGAATTAGCAGTAATTATTCTCTGGGATTCTCACATTTTCATCTCCATGCGTCTAAGGCATTGCTTAGGATCCGGATCCTGGATCCACAATAATCTAGCTCCCTCTGGACCAAGATCCGGATCCTGGATCCACAATAGTCTAGCTCCCTCTGGACCAAGATCCGGATCCTGGATCCACAATAATCTAGCTCCCTCTGGACCAAGATCCGGATCCTGGATACACAATAATTTAGCTCCCTCTGGACCAAGATCCGGATCCTGGATACACAATAATTTAGCTCCCTCTGGACCAAGATCCGGATCCTGGATCCACAATAATCTAGCTCCCTCTGGACCAAGATCTGGATCCTGGATCCACAATAAATAGCTCCCTCTGGACCAAGATCCGAATCCTGGATCCACAATAATTTAGCTCCCTCTGCACCAAGATCCGGATCCTGGATCCACAATAATCTAGCTCCCTCTGCACCAAGATCCGGATCCTGGATCCACAATAATCTAGCTCCCTCTGCACCAGGATCCGGATTCAAGTGGCAAAAACTCAGCTTTTGCCACAACCCAACACATTTTAATCCCTACATCTTTGCAGCCCAATGTCATAGACATTTGACATTTCAAATATCAAAGGTTGACTCCGTCAGGTTGCAAAGATATGGGATTACATAATTTGAGTTCGGGGCAAAGACTCAATTTCTTTCAACCAAAACATCATTAAATATAAACGTTTTGCTGTCAAAACATTTTTCTGCCAACCTCTAAGATAAAATTGTAACCTTCTTAATTATTGAATGTTAAATAAAGTTTCTGCATAAAATTTTTTTTGTGAAATTTGTTTATGATAAAAAAAATTATCAAAAATCAAGAATTATTTTTGGTATGGATCCACATCAAAATGCAATTGATCCTAAAAAGTAAATAATGTTTCCATCAAAAATTCAATTACTGTTTATTTAGATTCCAAATTCAAAAATAAATCAATTAAAATTTCACATTGTGCTTTATTTACATCAAATATTTGTAAGTATGAGATGGGGGGGAGTATGAGATAGGGGGGCGGGGAGTTTTTAGAAAAATTTTGGAGACTTTTTTAAGTTTTTACTTTGCGTATGTAGATGATTAATTTTCAGTATATAATGTCTAAGGTACAGTCGTTCTGCCTACTTTAACATAAAAATTCCAATTTACGATTAAACACTGCAAGAAATAACATTCATAATTATAACAGTTTGAAATCCGATATAATTTCAGCAAAGTAAGAATAGCAGTTGAACTATGTTTATACACACGGTTCTTGTCATAGGGCTGATTCCGTTTACAGTCTTTAGGAATAATTACTATGTGAAAATACGATCCATTTATCCAAATATCCAAAACTGAGTTTGTCTTCCTGTCCAACAAAAAAGATTCGCATATCATTTATAAAAGCTCTTTTTTAAAAACCAAAGTTTGAGAAATAATTCTGTTGAATCATAGTGATTGAACTAGTGAGGTGTATATAGCTAGAAGCAAAGAAGACTCTAAATATCTGATTACTACAATAAATCATCATCAAGGAATTCACAGATAATCAATAGACTTGTAAATCATAGGTCGGAATTAATGAATAATAAGATTTTTGAACTAAGTATAGCAAGTTGAACTACTGCAGTATTGAACTCTCGGCCATAATATAGAAGTACAGTTGGTCATGGAAAAGACATTAATTACGACAAAAAATCAATGAAATGAAAGTTAGATTTGGTCTTTCAGTTTGATTATAGCTTTTAAATAATTTATCAAATGGTTTATGAAAGAAAAAACAAAGAGTGTTAGAAAAATGCATAAATTCCGTACAAACGTCTCTGAAGTCTTATCCTTTAAGGTTAACCCTGTATAGTTGAATTAGTCATGTCTAGTTCAAATACTTCTCGACGGCTTTTATTAAATCCGACCTCTCTAGTCAAAAGTTTGCATATAAAGTAGGTAAAAAGGATATATTGTGCAATGTGCATATTCGGACAAAAAGTAAAAACTGTGCTCTACCAATGTTTTACAATACTGCATTTCAAGTTTTATTCCGAGGGTTGGACTCCAATTTTTCCGATAAAAACTTCATGCTTGCGTCAGACTCTAACAGGGCGACTGTAGTTTTCCATTTTATGATTTATCAATCTAAAATTTATAAATGATGTTTTCTGGTAATTAACCTTTTTTTTACCGCTTTATCATTAAAAGAAACTGTATGATAATTACTTTAAAATTACGCCGACAATAATACTGAGCAAACCAACTTTTTTACTGGATCATACATTGATAAATTGATATATAAACATATCCGTGGTCTGATCAGGTCCAGAGAAAATACCACAATTGCTCCGTAGCTACCACAGTCAGCAAATACCGGTCCCCACACGGTCTCTTGCTCCAAGAGTACGGCAAACCACTTCCACACCTAGAGAAAACCGCATACCAGAACCTGCTAGGGAAAACCACATACCACAACCCGCTACAGGCACTCTACAACCCGCTGCTGAGAACTATATACTACAACCCGATACAGGGATACTACAAACCGTTACAGGGATACCGCAACCTGCTGCAGTGAACCATATACCACAACCTGCTACAAGGATTCCACAACCTGCTGCAGAGAACCATATACCACAACCTGCTACAGGGATACCACAACCCGTTACAGGGATACCACAACCTGCTGCAGAGAACAATATACTGAAACCTGTTAAGGAGAACCAAATATCATTACTACCTTTTAGAACACAAGAGATACCAGTATTACAGGGTTCCCAGCCTAATCATAGAGTTGAAGAGCAACAACAACAACAGCTCCGGCATCAACAGTATCGACCTTCACCACAACAGCCTCCACAACCAATACAGCAAACTCCACACAGAGATCATACTCTTTCAAAGTATATTCCGAAGGTGATAAACTCTTCCATCATTAAAGGGAATTTGGACGTTTTTTCAATTGACGATTAATTTTAAGTGATACATGCCTGATTCACAATCGTACCCTTTCACCCTGTCTAAGCAAAACCAATGTTGATATCTTCATTATTGTTACTCAGATAAAGATGTCAAAGGTCCAGTAAAACCTGTTGATATCTTCATTATTGTTACTCAGATAAAGATTTCAAAGGTCCTGTAAAACCTGATGATATCTTCATTATTGTTACTCAGATAAAGATGTCAAAGGTCCAGTAAAACCTGATGATATCTTCATTATTGTTACTCAGATAAAGGTGTCAAAGGTCCAGTAAAACCTGTTGATATCTTCATTATTGTTACTCAGATAAAGGTGTCAAAGGTTCAGTAAAACTAACTCCTGTATCGAAATATTTAATCTCTCATTCAAACTCCGTCAAAAATAACGTTTAAGAAGCCTTATATCACTAAAGAGGAATTGAGTGCCACAAAATCTGATTTTCTAATCCTTGTATCTTTGCAACCCAATGTTGTAGTTATTTCAAACCATTAATTCAGGTTGCAAAGATATACAGTCATAACCAGAAAGACCCGAAATTAATTGACATTTATTCAGACGACTTAACATGTATATCTTTGGTAAAATTAAACGCACCAAAAAGGCAGACAACATTTAGGAATTGGCAGGACTAGGGCTATTTTGTTATTATCGCTTTATCAATTGTTCTGTAAAATTATATTGTAAAGTCGTCTGATTAATTCCGGGTCTTTCTGGTTAGGAATTAGAAATTTGATTTTGCGGGAAAGATTTTCTTTGAAATACACCCAACAAAAGTTTAAAATAATATATACGAAATATTTACATTTAAACGGGGAAAAAGGTTTCTATAGGACTCATTGGCTTCTTTAGAACCTGTAGTTTACCATGAGGTACCTTTTTAAAATATGGTTGTATGATTTAGTAATATTTGATAGCTGAAATATTACAAGAAATAGTGGCGCGGAGCGCTCTGGAAGCCTGTAGTAACTCATAAATGTACTACTGAGTAGAACCAACTGAGTAAAGTGATAACCAGATAACTCTGAAATAAGAAGACGACTTTTAGAATCAAGTAATAACTTTAAAAAGTCCGAAGAACATGAGACACAGCAATTGCGCCATTTAAAACGACCCATTTCACTAAATTAGTGATTTAATAAGTGTTTAGTAAAACTATTTACTTTGTGAAAACATTAAACACACTTAAGCATTGCTTTAATATCGTCTTCCTATTCCATCGTTTTCTGAATATCACTGTAAAAAAAAATATTAAGGTCTGGGATTATACTGAACACAAGAAACTGAAAGAAGGAATTTCAAGACATTGGAATACAAGGTCAAAATACGGAGTTTACAGAATTTTTGAAAAAGCTACAAATAAATATTTAATCGTTAAAAATTTGCAAATATGCCTAATATTATGTGTATTGTCAGAGTGAAGTACAAATGGACCGGGAACACGAAGAAAGATAACGCCCAATTAAAAAAAGAAAATCCGGAAATCAGATTTCAACTAAATGATCCAACGGCTGAGTCCAAAAATAATCAATATACCGCAAACAATGGAGGAAAAGGTGCACAGTTAAATCCCATTACTAGACAAGGAGGTGTACAACCAAGTACAGCTAATGGTCGGAATTATGTACAGCCAAGTACAGCAAATGTTCGGAATTATGTACAACCAAGTACAGCTAATGGTCAAGCAACCCGTACCATGACGGGCTACACCAACACTGAAAGAACTGGACATGATTATGCAATTGAGCCTTATTCTAGGCCCAGCCTAGATTTAACCCAAGGAACTGAGTTATCGGGAAGAAATGTAAACAGAGATTTGATCTATCAGGAAGTAAATGTATTAAGAAGTGAAGAGAAAAGTGCAGGAAATAATTATAGAAACGAACCAAACAGATCAGGATATATACAACAAGAGCCAAATAATGCTCAAGTGAATCTAAGCCAAAATCCACCAAATATGGGAGAAAACAGAAATAAAGTAAACCAAGAAAATGCGGGAAGTCATCTAGCAGGGGCAGGATTAACTGTCAACAATGAGCAAGGGAATAATGGAGGATATACAAACAATATTGAATCAAATAAAAGTAGAATCAAAGACAGATCGTCTTCACAAGGTCGTAAAATAGCAGAGACAGTAAATCCTTTATTCAGGTATTTCTTTTTAACAAAAAGTGTTTATATTAACATTTCCCATGGAATTACAAGACCAACTAAAAAGTTAGAAAGCCAGGGTTTAGATTATAAGGGAGGATTAGATGAATTTCTCACATTTTTAGCCAGCTGGAGTTATGAGAAAACTGGTTAGATTGTGAACATATTAGCTAAAGGAATTGAGTCTTTGCCATAAATTCTGATTTTCTAATCCCTTTATCTGTGCTACCCAACCCAATGTTGTAGACCTAACATATTTCAAACTATTAATTTTGTTAAATCAAATAACCTAAGTTTGAAATGCCAAAGGTTTACATTTTTAGGTTATAATAATACAGACAGAGAATAATTGATTTTGTGGCAAAAACTCAGTTCCTTTGTAAGCTTGAGTTAGGGAAGAATTAGCTAAATATTAGCTAGAGTTAACCATAGAATAAAACTAAATTCTAAAAACAATATTAGCTAGAGTTAACCATAGAATAAAACTAAATTCTAAAAATAAAATTTTAGTAAAATATCTGGCAACACTCTTGGTGAGTATTCAGAACAAACTTCAGATTTTGACATTAAAGGTTAGTTTCTCTTAAACATTTATTTTTATATTTTATTAGACATTAAACTTTAATTTAAGTTTTAAATTCCTAGTTCACAACAGTAACCTTTAATCCTTTATCTTTAAGTACTGACAATGTTCTTCCTTGTCTCTTTAATGGAGATACCGCGATTGAAATGTATCAATTTAAAGATAGAAAAACAAGGATATCTTTATCATTTTTCCAAATACAAAGTTGAAAGGGTGGTTTTGTGATCAAGCATGAAACTCTTTAACTGGGGGTTCATTTGAAACTACGTCGAGTGTCTCTTTAAGTATTAATAATTTATACAATTAATATGTACACATATATTATCAACAAGTTAATTTATACAATTAAGCTGTAAATATGTACACATACATTATGTACAAATTAATTTATACAATTAAGCTGTAAATATGTACACATATATTATCCACAAATTAATTTATACAATTAAGCTGTAAATATGTACACAAACATTATGTACAAATTAATTTATACAATTAAGCTGTAAATATGTACACAAGGTTGATAGAAATTCAAGTATCTAGCTCTGTTTGAAAAGATGTATACTTTATAATGGCCTAGTATCGCCAATTTGTAAATAAAAACAAAGGTGTAGAATATTGTTAATCTTGAATACTTGATCTCAATTTATATGATTACTAAAGGATATCAAAAATAAATGGTTAGATATACAAAAGATATTTTGATTGAAAGAAAAAATATTTAAATTGAGTTTAACAAGAGAAAGAGAAATGACTTCATTGATTTGTTTGTCATTCTTCAGACTTAAGTGGATAATTCCTAGTTTTTGCATGAAATAGTAATTCTTAAATAAAATGAATTTAAAATTTACATGAATATAAATGATTTTAGAGTCTAATGATAAAGCTTATATAGGATTTAAATTATTATAGGATTTAAAGCATTTAGTTTTGAATTATTATCGAATTTAAATACTGGAAGAGTTAAATGTGCGGGATTAAATTTTTAATCCTATAGGTTTAAATTTATAATCCTAGGATTAAAGATGGAGGAAAGCCGAGGACCGTATAAGTGGGATTATATTGTCATATCAAAGTAAGATTTTAATTCTAACAATATTCTTTAAAACTTGAATTAACAAATGATAAAATAAAATATTTTCAGATCTAAGGAAAAGAGAGACTAGTGTATTCAGCTCCCCTAAACTCCACCTATTACCTAGTGGTCGGCGTTTATATCAATACAATGAAGATGACTTTTCAATTTTAGTTTTTTAAGTAATTAAGGTTTCCAACAAGCTATTTAATGTTTAAAAGTAAACGAGGAGAAGAAGAATTAATTTGCAGTTTCTCTTTGTTTCCATGATTATGCGTAACCATGCTGTTTAAAAGCTTAGTAGAAATCGAAAGTCGTCTTCATTGTATTAATATATACAACAAGGACTGTAACTGGATCCTAAGTTGAATTTCTTGACTATTGAAAAAAATGAGGCTATTCTTCCAATAAGTAAATAATCGGACTTAATGCAAGCATGGTTTTCCCGATATTCTCTTTCTTCAATAATTCCAATCATTCATTCTTCTCTCTTCAGAGAAAGGTTTCTGACTCAACACAAGGTTTTATTCTGAAATCAAAACTTTGAAATATTATAATAAATATTATTTTACTTTTGGGTCAGGCGCGTAGTGGAGGGGGGGCCGGTACCCCTGTGCCCCCCCCCAAGACATGCACCCCCTAGGCCCCCCTAGAGTCAGAGGTAGGCTCTAATTTATTAAACAGTAAACTTACATATATATTCAGATTTTTAATTCTTCTTATCAATCGACAATGACAATTTTGTGGCGGAANAGTTATAGAACGGCGGAGTAAATTCTTCCGCCTCCAGATTGGTGCCAAAGTAGACTCAGTTTCTGTAGACCGGCTTAAACCAGTGATATCTGATGTTCCAGTGATTCCTGTAACTCCTCCGCCTCGAGGTCGTCCTCCTCTTCGCCAGTCAAAGGATCCTCCAGACCTTTCCTCCGCCGCGAAGTCGTCCGCCTCAAAGAAGAAATCTGTGATGTTTTTAAACCAACCTATAATCATACCAAGAAGAAACCCTCACAGACAAGTCAGGAAAGAAGTCTTAGCTCCGCCTTGACTCCGCCTTGCCTTCTTGGGGGGAGTACTGTGGCGGAAGACGATCTGAGGAGTTAGAAGCCGGATACTCAGACGCGGCAAGATGAGCTCTGATTCTGCCACGTCACCTTGATATATATATTTTCGATTTCTTAAATTTAGATTTTAAAATAAGTTAGTCAATAAAGTATTTATTTAAACTTCGGTCGTGTTAAACTGAGCGTAGCCAAAATTTGTCCATTTTATGATTATTTCTCAAATTCTTTCTTGAACCTTAATCTTATTTAAAATTTTTTTTCGCGGGGTTTCATTTAAAATGATTGGTAATTATGGTCAGATTACTAATAGTCAGAATTCAGGTATATTAATATAGATTTTAAACTTTATTTTTTCTTAATACCGGGTTTTTAGGGGGATGCACAAAAGTGCACCCCCCTAGGCTAAACCTCCACTACGCGCCTGTTTTGGGTCTGGAGTAAAAAGAATTATTTTTAATCCCTTCTCATGGGGATGAAAATTATTGAAAGTTACAAAAATTCAACCACGAAAAAGAAACATGGATAAAACACGCGGAAGGGCTTTATTGAAAACAAAGGATTTCGAAGTTGTTTATTTATTGATTTATTCTTAATCTTTTTAACTTGATCTTTTCTTGTGTTAATCTTGTTTATTCGTTGGTTGAATCTCAATCGTTTAAAGGGATCGTTCGCTTATTTGGGTAATTTCGGGGTAAATTAAATAACTTATCAGCTATTGATTAGTATTGGTCTTACTTTTCAAAGACAACTGTGGCCGGAGAAAACCCCGATTTTTCGTTCAGAATTCGAGCGCAAAGGAACGGTCCATTTTGTCTATGCACTATTTGATGTTTTTTGTCGATGTCATGGATAAAAAAAATTTCGAATATAACATTAAACTGTAGCATCTAATAGTTAATTGTGAATGTCATAATTTAAAAAAAAAACTTTCTATTTCTAGCGCATTGAACTTGTATTGATTCTCTGTAAAATGCTGAATAGAACGCGGCATGAAAAATGAAATGAAAAAGGGAACGGGATTATATATTATAATTGGGTAGTTGATAATAAATTAGACAACTAATTAAGGGATGTAATCATCCGANAGGATTTTGACCTTTCTGTCCATAACAGATATCGGTTGGAGAACTGACAGAATCTATGTATAGATGAATATAACCGAATAGAGAGCATTTCTCTCATCCCGCTCCGAAAGTTTTAAAAATAAACTATTTCGGATTACTACAAGTAAGATGTACATTTTATTTACATCGAACGCCGAGTTGAATCTAAGAACTGAAATTGCGTAATGATTAATTGATTGTCGTCGTCTTTGTATATACATTTTACACGTTTTAATACGAAAAACGTAAATTTATTGCTAACTCAAATATCAAAAGTTTTCATATTTTAGTATATAATTGCAGCTGTTGTTGCTGAAAAACGTCTAGTATGTTTCAGACAAAGGGACCGTCCCTTTGCGCTCGAATTCTGAACAAAAATCGACTTTTTCTCCGGCCACAGTTGTCTTTGCAAAGTAAGACTAATGCCAATTAACAGCTGATAGGGGGACATATTCTTATTAAATGAATTATACTGCACTCTCAGTTTAAACTATCCCTTGTTGCCGATCACTGCCTTTAAATCTTATTCTTTAATTGTTATATTCTTAGTTTAATATTGGTTTAATCTTTAAACTCATTTCTAAAAAGTTTTTGATCAAATTGAATTTATGGCCCCAATGCTGTGCAGCCTGAAGTGAAAGGTAAAAAAATAATTTTTAACTTTTTTATGAAATACTTTAACCATTGCTTATTGGATTTTATTATTTTTCCTGTTATTCTCCAACCTGGTAGGTTACCAAAACAAGGGAACTTTACAGTCTCCAACAACTGCAACAACAACAACAACATCAACTACATCAAGTACCCCAGTCACAGAAGAACCAACTTCCACAAGTTCAACAACAACAACCGAAGCCATAACTACAACTACAACAATGGCAGCTTCAACTACAACCACCGTAGCTACAACTACAACAACAAAAACTATAACTACTACAACAGAAGCTCCAACTACAACTACAACAGCCGAAGCTCCAACTACAACTGCAACAACCGAATATCCAACTACAACTAGAACAACTCAAGCTCCAACTACAACAACAACAACCGAAGCTCCAACTACAACTACAACAGAGCCTCAAACTACATCAACCGAAGCCTCAACAACAACAACGACAACAACAACAACAACCACTTCAACTTCTGTACCTTTAACAGCTGCACCATTGCCAACTGTGTATCCTAGTACAACCAATACTGGTTCAGATTATTCACTCTATCCAGTAGATTCAAATGAGGTAAATAGCAAAGAGTTCAGCAGAACAGGGTAAAATACAACAAAGACTTTAAAACGTAAAATAGTTCTATAAATAGGTTTATCAATTCTCATTTATTTCTTGTAAAACTTTTAAAATCAAGATAAATACCTGAAGCAATTACAAACAAAGGTAATGAAATGCTTACAGGGCAAAATTAGGTTTTGATAGTTTTTTCATCACTGATATTTTTAATGAACAAATTTTTAGCTTTTTATAATTTTGAATTTAAGGTTAATGGAGTAGATTATTCTGATGATTTTCAAGAATCAGGTAGGAGTTAGATTAGAAGGATTGTTGAGTTATCTAAAATATGCCAAATATCCCCCCCCCCCCCCGTCTTTTCAAATAATAACAAAAAATTCTTTAAATTATATTTCGACAACTGTCGTTAAACATTTAGGTGCAGAAAAGCCCGATTCACGACGGTACCATTTAAACCAATTTATGATGTGGAAGCTATCGTAGTTTTCAAAGAGACAATGATTGGTATTTCATGATTTCACGATCAGACAAATTTGTCATATATCACATAGATTCAGCCAACCTGCTTAGAAAAAGCCTCATCAATTTTTAAGACAGGGTCGACATTGAAGTGTCGCAACGCCTTAGGGGGTTTGATTTTACCGCTCTAACTCACTCATGCTTTTCTGTAGTCCTTTACATTACATTTTAGCACTATAAAGCACTTGTTGTTGACTTTGGTTTTGAAGAAGTAATTGGGAAAATTCTCAGCGATTTTTGATTTAGAGTTTGAGACCTTTAGATGACAGAAAACCATTGTGAATTGGACATGTCACGCTATAATTGGAGATTAACTTACGTCTACAATCCTTTTAAGCACACATAGAGGCGATATCAAACAATTTCTATTTTATTTTGATAATTTTGATAAAATCTGTTTTAAGATGATGTGACGACGATGACTCCAATATTTGAGTTTACTCCTGTAACAGTAGCATACAATTCAGCTCGGGTTGGAATATATAATTCAGGTCAATATTAGCGATATATAATATTAGAAATATATCAGGTCAATATTAGAAATATATCAGGTCAATATTAGAAATATATCAGGTCAATATTAGAAATATATCAGGTCAATATTAGAAATATATCAGGTCAATATTAGAAATATATCAGGTCAATATTAGAAATATATCAGGTCAATATTAGAAATATATCAGGTCAATATTAGAAATATATCAGGTCAATATTAGAAATATATCAGGTCAATATTAGAAATATATCAGGTCAATATTAGAAATATATCAGGTCAATATTAGAAATATATCAGGTCAATATTAGAAATATATCAGGTCAATATTAGAAATATATCAGGTCAATATTAGAAATATATCAGGTCAATATTAGAAATATATCAGGTCAATATTAGAAATATATCAGGTCAATATTAGAAATATATCAGGTCAATATTAGAAATATATCAGGTCAATATTAGAAATATATCAGGTCAATATTAGAAATATATCAGGTCAATATTAGAAATATATCAGGTCAATATTAGAAATATATCAGGTCAATATTAGAAATATATCAGGTCAATATTAGAAATATATCAGGTCAATATTAGATATATATTAGGTAAATATTAGAAATATATCAGGTCGGAATCAATATTAGAAATTTATCTTAAAAGTTTCATCTTCTGTAAACATTATTTTTGTATTACAGTACTTGAAAATCTCTATATAGCAACTTTAAGAAAAAAAACTTTTTATCTTTCTTGTTAAATAAAAAATAAAATTTAGGTTTAAACGAGTTGAACATTTCTTTATTCAGTAGTCAAAGACGGATATTTTCATCATACAGTGAAACCCATAACTTTGTTTCAGTTAAACCCAAGATAAGCCATACATCGAAAGAATTAATCAAATGTCGTATTCTTCACTTTCTGATAATGGAAAGTTGCAGATATTTAGTTTTTTAATTAAATGATTATATTGGCCAGCTCTTTAAAACTTCCTATTCAACAGTTTTGCGAATCCCACTATACACGTTTAATCTCTATATAATAAAACAAGACATTCGTATATATATATATATATGTTCCCTGTAGCCGGCCAAACGGCTGGACCGAATGGGTTTACATTTTCAGAGGAAACCCAGAGGTATCCCGGGGGTAACAAAAGCTAAAACAAAACGAAAAAAGTTTGATAAAGAATCTTGAAACTTAATTAAAATCCAAAAATAATTCTTGATTATGCGAAACCCTGTATTATATTTAATAATTGAGAATTTCTAATCAAATTTATTTTAGGATATATTTTCAACCAAATTCTCTTCATGATTTTTAATTAAATTTTCGTCAATTGTTCTGTATTTATTAAAAGAAATATTTTTTTTTCTAAATTATAAAATATATTTTAGATACAGTAGGAGTTTTCCATTTCACACATTCTGGAGTTTTCCATTTCACACATTCTAGAGTTTTCCATTTCACACATTCTAGAGTTTTCCATTTCACACATTCTAGAGTTTTCCCTTTCACACATTCTGGAGATTCTGGAGTTTTTCATTTCACACATTCTGGAGTTAATTAAGTTTGTTAATATATAAATCTTTACAATTTTAAGAGGTTAAATCCCCTGATCACAAATTTGTTTTGTCACCCATGTTCAACATACAAATATTATTCATTTGATATATTTGAATGAGGTATATATGTACACTTGCATAACATAAAGTTTAGATTTATATATTTAATTGATATTTCTAACAGATTTTAATATTTGTAATTTTACAGATTTTGATATCCAATTAATCCCTCTCGTGGTCGATTATTTTCGGCCTTGTTAATTAGAACATTAAAAACACTGTACACCATATTTAACGAAAAGCCTTTTTCTTCCTGATTCGATCTGCGGTAGTGACCAGACAACAGTGGAAAGATCTGCGGTAGTGACCAGACAACAGTGAAAAGATCTGCGCTAGTAACCAGACAACAGTGGAAAGATCTGCGGTAGTAACCAGACAACAGTGGAAAGATCTGCTGTAGTAACCAAACAACAGTGGAAAGATCTGCTGTAGTAACCAGACAACAGTGGAAAGATCTTCTGTAGTAACCAGACAACAGTGGAAAGATCTGCGGTAGTAATCAGACAACAGTGGAAAAATCTGCGGTATAGTAACCAGACATCAGTGGAAAGATCTGCGGTAGTAACCAGAAAACAGTGGAAAGATCTGCGGTAGTAACCAGACAATAGTGGAAAGATCTGGGTAGTAACCAGACAACAGTGAAAAGATCTGCGGTAGTAACCAGACAACAGTGGAAAGATCTGCGGTAGTAACCAGACAACAGTGGAAAGATTTGAAAAATTGTAAATGATTTATTTCTTAACCGTAAAAATCAACTGTAAAAATTTAAAAATCATCAGCGAAATTTTACAATTAGATAAAAGAACAAAGACGACAATCATTCCCTTTTTTCATTGCTCGTAAACACTTTAAACCAGGGGGGTCCCAACGAGAAATGTGCCCCCCCCGCATGTAAGATCAAATTCAAGCTTAAAGGGACCGTAAAGGAAAAATGAAAGGGGGTATAGGCTGATACCGGAGCATTCTAGAAGTTGATTGAGACCTTTAAGAGTTCTTTCTGATGTTCTTGTCTCGAGAAATTGATATAAAACTGTGACAAAATTATACCGATCTCATGGTGAGATTTGGTATAGGATTCTAAGTTTTAAACAGATCATACTTCATATTTGTCACGTGATAAAATTGGAGAAATGTGACAATGATAATGCACTGCCTTGGTTGTAGTTATGATAATGTGATACAGACGTATTAATTATATTATAATAATATCAATTTAAAAATGAAAAAAAATATTATATTCAAATTATAACAGGAGCAATCTGAGTTTTTCTGGCTCCTCTGGATATCTTAGTTTTCAGATTGGTTGCGCTTTGTCATGGATATGATCTGTTTAAAACCATATAGGTGTCAATCAACTCCTGAACTTCTGAGGTCTCAGCCTATACCCCTTTCGTTTATACTTAACAGTCCCTTTAAATTAGTGCTTTTCAATGTAGAAGAGGGCTTTACTCCCCCCCCCATGCCTGGTACTTCCCTCTTTTTCATAAAAAACGTTAAAATACTTTCCAGTAGTACGGTCCTGCTTTAAACAATATACAAATAAATGGTAAAAATAATATGTATTTACACATAGATTGACTAGAAGAAGTATAATAAAATTGTGGCTTGACATTATTTTTCATTAATTGGTCAAAAAATATCAGATATAAATATCAGATCGTCTTCAAGATCCACGCCGTTCTTGTAGAAGAGGGTTAAAATAATATCCAAGAACTTTTTATTCACAATTAATATTCTCGTAATCTAGATATTTTATCTCCAAGTATATCAACAGCACCCTGAACAAGGTTTAAGTATTAGGATTAAAATTAAGGTTTAAGATTAATTTTTTAGTTTAAAAGTTCAAGATCATCAGCATTAATCTTTAAAATTCAGGTCAAATATTAAGGTTCAAGATTTATCTATTAGGTTTATGTTTGAGATTCAAAATCAAGTTTTAGGAGTAATCTTTAAGGTTTAAGATTAAGGCTTAAGTGTGAAGTTATAAGATTAGGTTCAAGATGTTAGGGACAAGATAAAAATTTTAGGTTAATTTATTAGATGCAGGATTAACTTAAAGATTCAGATTATAGGTTGAAGGTTCAAGATTAGAGGTACAGATTAATCTTTAGAATTAAGTTAAAGGAAATAATGTTGGTTTACGGCTAGGTTCAAGGGTTAGGTTCAAGGTTTAGGTTCAATGTTTAGGTTCAACGTTTAGTTTCAAAATGTAGGTTCAAGGTTTAGGTTTAAAGTTTAGGTTTAGGTTCAAGGTTTAGGTTCAAGGTTTAGGTTCAAGGTTTAGGTTTAAAGTTTAGGGTTAGGTTCAAGATTTAGGTTTAAGGTTTAGGTTCAAGAATTAGGTTCAAGGTTTAGTTTCAAAATTTAGGTTCAAGGTTTAGGTTTCAGGTTTAGGTTTAGGTTCAAGGTTTAGGTTCAAGGTTTAGGTTCAAGGTTTAGTTTCAAAATTTAGGTTCAAGGTTTAGGTTCAAGGTTTAGGTTTAAAGTTTAGGTTTAGGTTCAAGGTTTAGGTTCAAGGAATATGTTAAAGGTTTAGGTTCAAGGTTTTAGGTTCGAGATCAGGTTTAAGGTTTTTAAGGTTCAAGGTTTAATTTAAGGTCTAGGCTAAAGATTATACTGAATGTTTGAATTCAGGATTAGGTTCAAAGTTTAGGTTAAATTTAAATCTAATATTAAGTCAAAATTCTGAAGTAAATTATTATTCTCCTCATTCTCAAATTGTCAAAGCCTTATATCTTTGCACCTGATGTTGTACATACACCCTTTAAGGTTTAAACCATCGGGTTGCAAAGGTATAGGAATTCGAACACTAGAATTCTATTGAGTAATTATTTCCTTTTTGACGCCCATTTTTTGTTTAGTTTAGTTTAATTAAAGGGTTTAGGCTGGTTACCTGATAAACAAAACAAGGAACAGCAATCATGTTAAAAATGGTAACAACCTTGGCATCCTGAACAAAGGAACATACAGGGATTTCTTTATTACATCCTATGTATTTAATGGGTGTTGAAAGAAGGCTTAATATTATCATAATGAAGTTACAGTCTCTAGGATTTTAGGATTTCATTCATGGTTAAAAAGTTGTCGGATTTGGTCAATCCTGCTCTGAATGACGGCTCTTTATCTTTGGTACTGGAGCAGATTTCAATGTTTCTGTAGATCTATTGATAAAATTGGTAGACTAACATATATATATCTACCAGAAGTAGATTATAAGGTTTCTGTAGATCTATTGATAAAACTGGTAAACTAACATATATATATCTACCTGGAGTAGATTATAAGGTTTCTGTAGATCTATTGATAAAACTGGTAGACTAACATATGTATATCTACCAGGAGTAGATTATAAGGTTTCTGTAGATCTACTGATTAAACTGGTAGACTAATATATTTAAATCTACCTGGAGTAGATTGTAATGTTTCTGTAGATCTACTGATAAACTGGTAGACTAATATATTTAAATCTACCTGAAGTAGATTACAATGTTTCTGTAGATCTACAGCTAAAACTGGTAGACTAGAAGGACCCTTGCATAGCTTTGATGTAGATGAATCTATTCTTCTAAATGTATTCTGGATATCTTCATAATCTGATATCCTGAAAACCATATTTTCATTTATATAAAATTTGTCTTCAGAAGTGTTGCACAGAGTGAGAACCAGAATTTTCGTAATCGTATCTTGTTTTAATTATGAAATACTATGCAAATGTAATCTTATACCATATCGACTATTTCGACTAAAGTTCCCTGAACGCAAGGTAATAATGCATTATAACCTTGCCTGAACGAGTGGGGGAAGGCAGGTGGCCATAAGCCACAACATTTTTCCTTTCCATGCCGCTTATTATCTTTTTTGTCTTCCAGCAGCCATGAGCCACAACCACGGTCTTCCATGCCACAGCATTTGAGTCTTCCGGTAGTTATTACGTTTTTATATGATAAATTCAGGGTACTGAAATTGCAATTTTTAAAAATCCTGCCTCATTACGCAAACGATCATACCTTTAAGAAATTTTAGAAGTTTACTAAAGTTCAGTTTATAATCTGCTTTACATTATACAAAGAAAATTTTACATCATTAACGTAGTGTAGGCACCGAGACAAATTGTTTGGGGTAGGCTAAAAAATAAGAAAAAAATGAGAAAAATCACAATATTAACTGTAGAGCATTACAAATTTCCTCAAAAAAAAAATCTATTTTGCAATTTTCTTGTCGAATAGTGCAAATTTTCGATTAGTGAACTTTAAATGTATGTTATAGTCCATCATTTCTACTGTTCATAATGTTTTCAAAAATAAGCCATTTTGGAGAAAAGATGAAATTTAACTTTTTGGAAAATAAGTTTAGCAGTTAATGTTGAAATGAATCGTCATTATTTTAATTTAAAATAAAAATATTAAGTTCTTTATATATAACTTTTGCATGACGTCGCCTGATTAATGAAAATCACAATTTCAATGCACTAAATTTATTATTTAAAAACGTAATTTCTGTCAGAAGACTCAAATGCTGTGGCATGGAAGACCGTACTGATGTGGCTCATGGCTGCCGGAAGACAAAAAAGCTAATATGTGGCATGGAAGGGGAAAATGTTATGGCTTATTGCCGCCTGCCTTCCCCCGCTCTCTGAACGATCAGTTACAGCAGATGAAAATTAATAAACCTTTATCGACATTTCTTAAGTACAGGGTGTCCCAATAAACATGAGAACTGATTTGTTTTATTTAGCATAGTTATGCTTACAGGATCACTCTGTATTATGATTTTTCCTAGTGTAGTGCAGTTACCTATAATTGTTTTCTTGTAAATGCTGTAGTTGAATTATAAGCTCAGAGATTTTTCCCTTCATATCTCCAATCCTAAATATTTTTAAAAATATTTAATCTAAAATAAAAAAAATGTTATGCCGATGATGAACCTTTGGGGGTTCCAAGAATGGTTCCGTTTAGTTTTACAACTACAGAACTACAGGTTGTCCTAATAAACATGGGAATTGACTGACGCTTTCAATATGGTCTTTGTTCAATGCGGAATTAGTTTGTAAACATTATTTTGTAGTATCACAGTTAGGATGTTTAACACCGAAAACTTCTAGTCCAGGGGTTTCCAAAATGTGGTCTACCATTTTTTCGCCTTCAAAATTGACGGAGATATTAGGAAATTTGTCCAGATTCCAATATATTAAAAATCAACAAAACTATTTAAATGTTAAATATCTCAGATAATTTTAAAGATACAAAGAAGGTAGACCGCATTTTGGAAAGCTCATTAGATTTTCAATTTTTTTTGTGGACTCAATTCCTATACATATGGGAGCTTACAATAAAGTATACCTATATGGGAGCTAAGCTTGTAATAAAGTATACCTATATGGGAGCTAAGCTTATAATAAAGTATACCTATATGGGAGCAAGCTTGTAATAAAGTATGCCTATATGAAAGTTGAGCTTATGATAAAGTATATCTATAAGGGAGCTGAGGTTGTAATAAAGTATACCTATATGGGAGCTAAGCTTATACTAAAGTATACTTATATTGGAGCTGAGCTTATAATAAAGTATACTTATATGGGAGCTGAGCATATATTAAAGTATACCTATATGGCAGCTGAGCTACATTATCCACAAATAAAAGTTTACGAGGGAGACCTAGACATCCTAGAAAAATAAAAAATAAATTAATAATAATTAAAAAATATATTTTTCAAGTTTCTCACCCTGGGTTACAAGTTTCTGAATTTCAGCAATATTATTGGCTTGTGCGAGGGTAGAGGGTATCAGGAAGGAAAATAGAAGCTGTTCAGTTCCTTCTAGAATCTCATGTACTCTTCCCTCAACTTCCTCCTGTACATAATATAATTTGTGATAACTTATTTCTACTTCTTTTACATTGTGCATTGTACAAGGTACAAGGTACATGAGTCAGTAATCTATTCCGTATGAGTATGTACACTGTAAAGTGTATTATAATTGACAATGTTCTCTTGCTTACTACTTCTATATATAAATTTGGCTTGTCTGTCTGTTTGTCTGGGTGGGTGTTTGTTTGTTTGTTTGTTTGTTTGTATCCAATAAACGTCAAAACGTTTAAACCTATCAGGTCCAAATTTAGTGTGGGACTTCACATGACCCTAGGATGATTGAATTTTCAAAAATTCGCCTCTAACAAAATTTGATTTTTAAAAATTTTGAAAATCCAAGAATTTCTTTTTAAAATTCGCAAATTTTTTATTTCTGTTTAACAATGTATACAAAAAGAAATGTTCACAATTGAAATAGAACATAGGCACGAAGCGCCTATGTTCGAAATGCACTATTGCTAAGTTGGTTGTAATCCCTCCTTTATATATGTACAGAAGTCAGTGTTATACATATTTTCTAGCTTAAAAACATATTTTCTAGCCTAAAAAATATTTTCTAGCTTAAAAACATATTTTCTAGCTTAAAAGCATATTTTCTAGCTTAAAAGCATATTTTCTAGCTTAAAAGCATATTTTCTAGCTTAAAAGCATATTTTCTAGCTTAAAAACAGCTTAAAAGCATATTTTCTAGCTTAAAAGCATATTTTCTAGCTTAAAAACAGCTTAAAAGCATATTTTCTAGCTTAAAAACATATTTTCTACCTTAAAAACATATTTTCTAGCTTAAAAACATATTTTCTAGCTTAAAAACATATTTTCTAGCTTAAAAACATATTTTCTAGTTTAAAAGCATATTTTCTAGCTTGAAAACATATTTTCTAGCTTAAAAACATATTTTTTTGCTTAAAAATATATTTTCTAGCTTAAAAGTTTATTTTCTAGCTTAAAAACATACTTTCTAGCTTAAAAACATATTTTCTAGCTTAAAAACATATTTTCTATTTTTTATTACCTTTGGTGTACTGTAAAGTACTTCGGGTCCTTTTGTTATTGTTTTCTCCGAATTTACAATATAATCAATATCCTGAAATATTCATCATATTTTTGCAGAAAACATTTCTTTATTCAATTCAATTAACTACAGTTTAAATAAAACCATTTATTGTTGAATATTATTTACAAGCATCATATCGAGTTACAGCTGCACTGCAGTAAAATAATAACAAAACTGCAAGATTGAAAAAATAGTTTGAATATCTACCTTCTTTAAATATTTTGTGAAAGATATCAATATGATCGATTAATTTCCATATTTTATACAGTAAGGACCAGAATACTGTGGAATTGGAAGACGACATTAGAGTAATAATTAATCGGATTGGATATTGTTACATTAAAAAGCAAATAAAAAAATGAAAAAATTTAAAAATTAACTAAACTAAATAAGGGAATAAGGTCTTTGTACACCATGTACAATTACTGTAATCATGTTCATTGAACTAATCATAAAGTCATAAATTGAGTCTTCAAGTCGTCTTCCTCTTCCAGAGTTTTCTGGTTTTAACTGTACAATAATTATAAATAAAATATGTCACCTGTTCCCTTGGACTCAAGTATTCATGTCTAAACAAAGAATTGTTTAATAGAATACAGTGGTCCCCAGAATATAGTTTGACAAAAATATAACAGAATATAACAGAAGTACTAAAGATATTTAAAACATTTTAAAAGCATTAAATTTCTTGAATAAAACAAACTATTTTTTAAATATTTAAAATAAGAACATTAGACTTTTAGTAATTCTGAATATTTTTCGTCAATGAATTTTGAGAATTGTAAAATTTCTGTGGAATTAAATATTTCACAATTTAATTCTAAAAGTTTGGATTTGCAAAAATTCCCAAAAATCAGAAAATGATATTTTTATTTTTATTCTAATTATGAATTTATGTTATAATTATTCATTTAGATATGTTGTTTAGAATATGTCTGCGTAGCTTGAAAGGGGGCGTTAGAAAATTGCCCCCTTTAATTATAATTCTATAGTTGGGAAGAAACTTTAAAAGACCTGTAAAGAGTGTTGGTAGGAGTTGAGTAGGTAGCAATCTAAACATATTTAATATTTTTTCAAATTACATGATTAAATTCTTGTTTTTTCTTGGTACATGAACTTGAATACCTGTGGGTTCTCTGTACCATAGGATTCCCCTGTACCAGGCCTATGTACTCCAGCCTATCAAGTACACTTAATATTAAATATTAAATTTATATTTTAAGGAAGGTTACATGAACTTTGAAAGAGGGTATTTGGGAAGAATTTGATCATTACTATTCTCATCTTGAACTGCTTCAATTTAAACTTTAAAAGATGTAGATTACGAGATGCCATCTTTTCATAAGCTTGCACAAATCATCCTGATTTGTAAGAATACTTTTAAAGATATGATATTTCCTCTCTTTGACTAAGAAGAAAGATCGTGCAGTTTTTCGGCAGTTAGGCTGATCAGAAGGTCAGATTATTAGTCGTTAGGGCTGCTCAGACGGTTAGCTTATCCGTCGTTAGGCTGTTAAGACGGTTAGCTTATCAGTGGCTAGACTGATCAGACGGTCAGCTTATCAGTTGTTAGGCTGATCTAAAGGTCAAATTATCAGTTGCTAGCATGATCAGACGGTCACCTAATTAGTTGTTAGGCTGACCTGAAGGTCAAATTATCAGTTGCTAGGCTGATCAGACTGTTAGCTAATCAGTTGTTAGGCCGATCAGACGGTCAATAAATCAGTTGTAAGGCTGACCTAAAAGTCAAATTACTAGTTGTTAGGCTGTTCAGACGGTTAACTAATCATTTGTTAGGCTGCTCAGACGGTTAGCTAATCAATCATTAGGCTGATAAGACGATATCTAATCAGTTCTTAAGATGACCTGAAGGTCAAATTACCAGTTGTTAGGCTGATCAGACGGCCAGCTAATCAATCATTTGGCTGATCAGACGGTCATTCGGAGGTCGAATTATCAGCTGTTAGGCTGTTCAGACGATCAGCTAATCAGTTGTTAGGCTGACCTGAAGGTCAAGTTATTAGTTGTTAGGCTGATCACACGATCAGCTAATCAGTGTTAGGCTGACCTGAAGGTCAAATCATCAGTTGTTAGGCTGATCAGACGGTTAACTAATCAGTTGTTAGGTTGTTCAGACGGTTAGCTAATCAAACATTAGCTGATTATTTGCATTACATATGTCATAACATTCAAATCTAAAATGTATCAAGTTATTTTAATAATGAACTGTTTAAAAAGATGAAAGTTGTTTAATTTTAAGATGATAATATTATTTCAAGGATTAAATTAAATTTATTAATATTTAAACAGTTTATATATATTTTTCATATCAAAATTGCAAATATCAAATATCATTCATTGACGTTTTCTTGTATTTTTTTTTTATCAATAATTGATTTGATGAAGAAACGGAGATCTGTCCAGAATGGGGTTCAACATATTGTTAAATGGCACCGGATTCACAAATAGTAGCTCGGAGAGAGGGTAGGGGATTTTTGGATTTTTAATCATTTAAAAAGGATCAAATGAAAAACTTATTTGCCAAGCTGGATCTACAAAAATAATTTTTTGAAAGTTTTGCGTTTTTATGTTTTGTGAATTGTTAACCTAACCAAAGAACTCAATCGTTCTTTTGTTATTTTTAGTTTATTTTCAGTTTATTGTTAGTTTATTTTTAGTTTATTTTTAGTTTATTTTTCGTTTATTTTTCGTTAACTTTTCTTCCAAAGTCTACGTTTCACATATCTGAGAGAAAATCTATAGTGGAATTTGTTAAACTAATGTTTTGTAGTGCTTATTATATCTTATTTAAAGTTTTAAAATATGTATAAAAACTGATTAAATTAATGTCCACCCCTCACAAACAGACTGCATAGTTTTATAATTTTAAGTATTGGAAAATCTGTCTATCATCATTTTTTTAATTCCAATGTATAAACTGCCCTTTTCATTCTAAATGGAAGCTGCCGCCGTGAATCCCCAGAACCTAGCTCAAGGTATAAGGAAAACCTACCTCCTGGTACGGGTTGGATCGTGTTGTGATCTCAGGATAGGTCGGCTTTACATCATCAGAATATTTGGAACTAGAGATACGCAGGAAAATTATAATATTTACAAATATAGAAATTGAGTCTTTGCCACAAACTCAAAACTTCCAATCCCCACATCTTTCCAACCTGATAGTGTAGACCTTTCAAGCTTAAACAATTTGATCTAACAGAATTTATAGATTGGAATATATAAGATCTACGAGATTGGGTTTCAAAGATAAAGAAAAACAGAGTTTGTGGCAAAGGCTCAATTCCACTACAACAGTAAAGACTTATTTCGGTCAAAATTGGATGCAGCTTTAGCAGTTATTTCTTTTCTTTGTAACATCATTTATTATTACTAAGATTAAAGATTTTTGCAGGAAAACTAACTTTTCATGTGCGGAGGAATAAAACTTTTAAAACTCAAAGACTACTTTTAGAAAGCGGGATACCAAATCAAACAGAAAAATTAGTTTTAAAAATAATCATTTCAGGCGTTCCTTGGTGATTTGAATGCAGTGACTGGTGATTTGTGATCATTTTCTGGTGGTTTATACGCAGTTTCTGGTGATTTGTACGTAGATTCTGATGACTTATACGCTATTTCCGGTGATTTATATGCATTTTCTGGTGATTTATACGTATTTTCTGGTGACTTATACTCAGATTCTGGTGATTCGTATTCAGATTCTGGTGATTTATATGCAGAATCTGGTGATTTATATGCATTATCTGGCGGTTTGTGCTCATTTTCTGGTGGTTTATACGCAGATTCCGGTGATTTGTATGAAGACTTTGGTGTATTGTATATTGAGTCTGGTTGTTGAATAACCCTGTGTTCTCCTTGAGCTCCTATCCTCAGCTCTGTAGGAGGTTTATCTTTGTTCTTTATTATTATACTAGAGAAACATTGTACATATAATATACACATTACACATATATCAAATTATGTTTAATGTAGATAACTAAAGTATGAGTGTTTGCCACAAACTCTAACTTTCTTTCCCCTATATCTTAGCAACCAGCTGTCTTATGACCTTTGATTTTTTAAACTATGAATTCTGATATATCAAATAATCTTAAGGGTTGCAAAGATATAAGGAACAGAAAACTTGAGTTTGCGCTAAAAACTCAATTCCTTTAGATATTCTGATACATCAGAATAAAAGTTTTGAAAATTAAATTTTTTTCCGCGTTTTCTTTCAGATTTTGAGATTTAAAGTTAGAACAAACGAGAACTAAACTTTTTTGGCTTCAATAATTATTAAGATTTATTCGATGTAACTTTTCATAGATTTTGAGATAAACCTTTCAATAATTGAGTTCTGAGTTCATTTTCAGGAAGAATTCAGATGAGTACCTTATTATTATTTCACTGGAATAATGGAGATTGATAAACCCACATGATGACTTTTAAGAGAGTGCGAATCATATAAAAAAGTTTCAATCCTTTTTGCCACTTTCCGTCTTTGGGATTCCAACAAAACAATCGAATCTATTCAAATTTACAAAAAAAATATACAATGTTTTAATTCAGAATTCAAAGATCTGGCCTTCTGTGTGAAAGTATTAATTAAGGTATTCTGACCATAATTCAAACCACGAAACAATTCTTAAATCAAATCTTTAATAAATATAAAGCTTGCCCTTGGAAAACAAGAACATATGGGAGAGAGGAAAATATTAAGAAAATATAGAAATGGCAAAGTACGCTTTTCAAATGGAGTAACGAGGACAAATAGGAAAAGGAAATGTTCTTAGAATTAGAAAAATATTTATATTTATTAATATTTTATATTATTATTTATAATAAAAAGAGATTTAAAAATTGGGCAAAAAAGTTTACGTGGGATTTAATTGAAAATTTAAGTTAAGAAGAAAAAAATATGGAAAAAAATAAGAAGAAAAAAGAAGTAACAAGTTCGATCAGAAAGATTCTGGAACAAAAACCCGGGGAAAAATTGATGAATAAATTATATATTGTTTGGCTCAAGTTCCAAAAAAGTCACTGGAAATACAGTCTTGTGTTTAAAATTTCCAGAATTTGATTTCTTGAAAACATTCACAACATTATTAACATATTTTCTAACAGAACCTTTTTACGTTTTATTTCCAATGAAGTTTTAAAATGAAATTGTTCTGCAATAAAGATTAGGACTTTTCCCAACGACCTTTTATTCTGAAGATTTGTTTCCCACAGGACTTTAATGTTTAGGAATTTACTCCAGAGAACTTTCTTGGCACTTACCCTTTTTTATGTGTATTTATTTATGTGTACAGTGTACAGTGTACGTGTGTATATGTGTATCTTGTATGTACACAATTCCTAAATCTATGTTGAGGAAAGGTAGGGTTATTATCTGCTGTATAAACCTGAATATCAGAAACAATTATAAAACTAATTTAAATAAAATAAAATAAGTAAAAATATTATTTTCAGATGTTTTATGAAAAGAATTAAGCTTCCCACAGAAAAAAAAATACAATAAAACACTTGATTTATTCGTACGCAAATTTGTCGCGGAAAATGAAGCATTTGATGAGCTCAATAAAAATATTATATTCGATTGGTATTACTTTTATTTTAATCGTATGTAACTGTAAAGTACTGACACCATGTTCCCGATCGTACACTGTACGGCGTACAGGTAGTTAAATCAATGTTAATGTTAATGTTAAATTAATTGCATATTTGGAAAGGTTTAAATTTCTTTAACAATGGGATACAACATATGAGACAGAAAATAAATAAGTGTAAGTAAAGCCATAATTTTTTATCTATATTCGCAAACATTCGTTTATTTTGAATAAGGCTAGAAATGAGGATTCCCTGACAAAAACATTCTATAATTCTGTTCCTTTGTTGTTGGATGTTTATATCCTTCGGGAGATTTAAACTCCTGCTCCTCTTCCTTCTCAGGAGCACTGTACAAACTCTAAATTGCATTTATTTAATTCTGCATATAAGATACAGTGATAACATGAAAACTCTGAAAAATAGGAAAACGGTTTTTTTACTCAAGTTGTGATTCAAGATATGACTTTATATAGTGGGACACAGCAATTTTACAACCACATTTTACTTAATAAGTGATCTGATCTAGTAAAAATACACTTAAGTATTGCTATAAGTTCGTCTTCCTATTTCAGAGTTTTCTGGTTCTCACTGTATGTACATGAACTTATTGTTTTAAAATGTACACTGTACAAACTACATAGTACAGAGCATACGTAAGTGTCTTTTTAATTATACACATATATGTTTGTCTCAATGACAGCTGCACACTACACTGCAAGCTTTACACTGTACAGTTTGTTACACTTTTCTCTTTGAATAATGTACATATCAAATCAGTTACGTGTACATTGTACAATTTTGATTAAATGTATGTATATTGATATAGCACTAGCTTGGTACCAAGCTTTGCCTGACAACCAAGTTTTCTTTACACAAGGTCAACCTATTCAAATAAGAACTTTCAAACCAAGCTAAAAACATTCCCGTGGTACTACGAGTTCCCTGGTCAAAATTTGGAGCAAATCAGTTTTGACCGGACATACAAACAAACAAAGAGAGATTACTACTCTAAATATATATAGATACAGTGTACACTACATTAGTGCACACGTGAAAACTGTTAGTGTACAATGTACAACTGGCAAGCATACAGTGTACACTACAACAGTGCGCACTGCGCATGTTTGAACTGTAAGTGTACACTGTACAGTTGGCAAGGATAAAGTGTACACTACAACAGTACACATGCGTAAACTGTAAGTGTAGCTGTACAGGTGGCAAGGATACAGTGTACACTACAACAGTGCACATGTGTAAACTGTAAGTGTACACTGTACAGTTGGCAAGGATACAGTGTACACTACAACAGTTCACGCGTGTGAACTGTCATGCATGTGTGAACTGGGAGTGTACACTGTACAGCATGGAAGGATTTCTATCTAGTATCTATGCCTTGAAAAAGTTGCTGAAAATAATCCTGTGGTTCTAGTGTTAAATATGTTTATTGTGTGTATATAGATTAAGAATGATTTATAGATTATTACTAAAAAGAGTTGAAAATTTCAGTTTAGATTTACAAGTCTCAATTTGCAATAGCAGAATATCCATGACTTGAAAGAAGAGTCAATGGTTAACATTGACGGGACTGTGTAGAGTGTAGAGTGTAGAGTGTAGAGTGTAGAGTGCAGAGTGTAGAGTGTAGAGTGTAGAGTGTAGAGTGTAGAGTGTACAGTGTAGAGTGTAGAGTGTAGAGTGTAGAAAGTAGTGTGTACAGTGTACAGTGTACACTGTAGAGTGTAGAGTGTACAGTTTAGAGTGTAGAGTGTACAGAGTACAGTGTATAGTTTACAGTGTACAGTGTACAGTGTACAGTGAACAGTTTACAGTGTACAGTGTATAGTGTACAGTGTACAGTGTACAGTGTACAGTGTACAGTGTACAGTGTACAGTGTATAGTGTACAGTGTAATCAGTGTACAGTGTACAGTGTACAGTGTATACAGTGTACAGTGTACATTGTACAGTGTACAGTGTACAGTTTACAGTGTACAGTGTACAGTGTACAGTGTATACAGTGTAGACGTAATTTCAAGTTACCCGGCATAAAAAATGGTATAACCGTTTTAACCTCTCTCTGATTAACAACATTTTTTTCCATCTAAAAAAGTGTTGGAATTATTTCCTTCATTGTCTTTAAAGCATAAATGCGCAAGTTACTTTTATTTAGACACCTTAATTGAAAATAGTAAACTTTCAGCTGAACAAATTTAAGTATCTTACTGATACTTGATCAAACAAGATACTGTTGTGAATTAAATATGCCACTCTACAATCGGAGGGCTACTTGAAATTGCAAGAAAAGAACTCATTTTACATTTGTAAAAATACGATTGCTGAAATCTATAAACCTGAGATATTGCTACAAGGAAATATGGTTTTTGTGGTTTTTACTAAGTTGGTTCTCATTAGTACTTTACATATTGCATAATCATTGGCAAATATTTGGTTTTTACTAGTTTCACCTTTTTATAAGAAAATATTAAAACTGACAAGTAAATTCACACAACAAAAATAGATTTTTTATATTGTTAAATAATGAATGATTTGATTGTATAAAAAGAAAAGGAATACATCAAGTGTGTTCATTGGTCTAGTTTAGATTTCCCATTTTTAGCCTGAAGTTCACAAAAAATGTTGTGGTTTAATGAGATTGAACTTAAAATAAGTGTAAATTCTCAGAAAGGGAATCATAAAAAATGTCCAATTTAATTTATTTTTTGATAAAACAGAATAATGCGGGTTCAATTTAATTTTTGCTAATTAATTTTATTTAAACGTTAGTCTGAACGATCTAATTCTCTTTACTATCATACCTTTCACGATGCAATACACTCATGTTGAGCTAATCATATTATTTGTCAATGAATAGATCGCTATTGAATATTGATTCTCTATTTTCTTTCTGTAGTCAAAGACTTAAATGCCAATGCTATGCGCAATGCGTATTCGCTGTATCGGTTGTTAGAGCATTTTAGGGATTCTAGATACATGGATTGTATCTACATTGTACAACTGATAGATTAAAAGTAAACAGATTTTGAACGGAATTTACATAGCTTGCACAAAACTTAAGTTTAAACATCTAAATTCTAAATTGTTGAAACCAGGCAACAATTTAGAATATATTTTCGGAAAAGTACACATTTGTTTACGACATCACAGACTAATATAATGTGGTTCAAGAGATATATAGACCAGGAACCGCCATATCTGATGCGTCAAATCTGTGTACTGCAGTGGGAGGAGATCAAAACAAAGAATTCAGAGGCAACGCATCATTTTTAAGGGAAAAGGGCCCAAGGGGTGGAATAGAAATATATTGCTATTGTATTTTCCATATTGACCAGAAAGCCAAAAATCATATGTATTCACTCTAACTTGATATATTAACTTGTTTTTTGTTGGACTGTAATATCACATCAGAGCTTTAATCCTTTCCCTTCAACTTCTGTGGGGGCACTGGGTTTGTTTACATTCCTCCCACAGTGTACAGTATATAATATGCATATATCTGAGTTGGGCGTTCCTGTATATAGTTCCTTGATGTGGGTATTGGTTAAAGAAAATGAAACTATTTCCCAGAACGCATGCTCAGATGAAGGTAAGACGATAAAAGCCTACAACCATTGCAAATATCTATCAACCGTTAAACGGGGTCACTATTTATTTTAATAGGGTTAATGGACTAGTCATAACCTATCCTGCAGTTAATAACAGGTGAACCTATGGGATACATCCCAGAATAAACTTCTAGTTAAAATAAAACCAAATTAATGTTACGATAGTATCTAATTACCAACTTAATTCTTAAAAATAGTAGTGCTTTTAATTAAATTAAATATAAAAGTTTCATAATTATTTAAATGTGTATTAAAAATTGGAGATAATCAAAAACTTTCTTTACCTTGGGGAAAGTTGGATTTTCATTCGGATCATAATTTTCCGGAGGAGAGTAATCATATCCTGTTGGAGGAAGGTTTAGAGGTTTAGGTTTAAACTTCTTTTTTGAAGGATTGTTTTCTTTCGGGAAGGTTGGGTTTTCGTTAGCGTTGTATCCTTTCGGAGGATTGTATTCATATCCTGATACTTCTTCTTCCTTTTTCGGGAAAGTAGGATTCTCATCTGCGGTGTAACCCTTCGGAGGATTATATTCATATCCTGATTCTTTTTCTTCCTTTTTTGGGAAAGTGGGATTGTCATCTGCGGTGTATCCTTTTGGAGGATTATATTTATATCCTGTATCCTCTTCTGCTTTAGGAAAAGTAGGATTGCCATCCGCGGTGTATCCTTTCGGAGGATTGTACTTGTATCCTGTATCCTCTTCCGCTTGAGGAAAAGTGGGATTGTCATCAGCTTTGTAACCTTTCGGAGGATTGTATTTATATCCTGTTTCTTTTTCCTTTTCAGGAAAAGTGGGATTGTCATCAGCTTTGTAACCTTTCGGAGGATTATATTTATATCCTGTTTCTTTTTCCTTTTCAGGGAAAGTAGGATTATTATCAGCACTGTATCCTTTTGGAGGATTATATTTATATCCTGTTTCTTCCTTCTTTATCGGAAAAGTAGGATTGCTATCAGCATTGTATCCATTTGGAGGATTGTACTTGTATCCTGTATCCTCTGTTGTATCCTCTTTATTAGGAAATGTTGGATTATCTGCTGGTAAATATCCTTGAGGTGTCCTGTAATCATATCCTTCTGGTAAATGATTCTGTTTATTTGCAACTTCGTTCTTGTTTGGAAATGTTGGATTTAAGTTTGGTGAATATCCCTCGGGTGCCTCGTACTTGTAGTGTTCATTGTTTTCTTTATAATTATCGTGTTTTGATTCCTGGTGTGGGAAAGTTGGATTATGATCAGGGTTGAATCCATCTGGAGGTTTGTAATTGTAACCATTATGTTCCTTTTGTAGATGTGGTTTATGTGGGAAAGTTGGATTATCATCTGAATCATATCCATCCGGAGGTTTGTAATCATATCCAGTAGGTAGACTCTCTCTGTCCTCATACCCCCCTGGAGTTGGGTTATCATGAGGACCATATCCTTCAGGATTATCATGTTCTATTTGTTTATCAGTTTTTTGTTTAGCTGAGTGGTGGTGCAAGGATTGAAAGAAAGATAACTCCGTCTGCTCCTTGGAACCTGAATACTCATCCTGTACAAGAATTGAATCTCAAGTTCAAGATTTTCATTTAATAAACATCATAACCTGCCATGTGGTATTAGTTGCAAGTAATTGCACGAAATGTATGTTTTTAACACAAATTAAATGACATGATTAATTCAATATGAGATAGAAATTCTTTCCTTTGGGTGCTTTTGTATATGGAGTGATTCATATAGATTCTTAGGTTCACTTGAGGGCTCATAAATATCCTTAGGCTTACTTACTGGTCCATAGGGCTCAATTGGAGGCTCATGATCTTGATTAGGAGGTGGCTCATATAATTTATTTGGCTCACTAGGTGGTTCATAGAGCTTTTTAGGTGGCTCATATCCTTGATTACGAGGTGGCTCATATAAATTCTTTGGCTCACTTGGTGGTTCATAGAGCTTTTCAGGTGGCTTATATCCATGATTAGAAGGTGGCTCATATAGATTCTTTGGCTCACTTGGTGGTTCATAGAGCTTTTTAGGTGGCTCATATCCTTGATTAGGTGGTGGCTCATATAAATTCTTTGGCTTACTTGGTGGTTCATAGAGCTCTTCAGGTGGCTTATATCCTTGATTAGAAGGTGGCTCATATAGATTCTTTGGCTCACTTGGTGGTTCATAGAGCTTTTCAGGTGGCTTATATCCTTCATTAGAAGGTGGCTCATATAGATTCTTTGGCTCACTTGGTTGTTCATAGAGCTTTTTAGGTGGTTCATATCCTTGATTAAGAGGTGGCCCATATAGATTCTTTGGCTCACTTGGTTGTTCATAGAGCTTTTTAGGTGGCTCATATCCTTGATTAAGAGGTGGCCCATATAAATTCTTTCGGTCACTTGGTAGTTCATAGAGCTTTTTAGGTGGATCATATGAATTCTTTAGCTCACTTGGTGGTTCATAGAGATCTTTCGGTGGCTCATATCCTTGGTTAGGAGGTGGCTCAGACATTTTTTTTTGCTTACTTGGTGGCTCATAGAGCTTTTTAGGTGGCTCATAAAGATGCTTTTGCTCACTTGGTGGCTCATAGAGCTTTTTAGGTGCCTCATATAAATTCTTTGGCTCAATTGGTGGTTCATAACGCTTTTTAGGAGGCTCATAACCTTGATTAGGAGGTGGCTCATATAAACTCTTTGGCTCACTTGGTGGTTCATAAAGCTTTTTAGGAGGCTCATAACCTTGATTAGGAGGTGGCTCATATAAACTCTTTGGCTCACTTGGTGGTTCATAAAGCTCTTTAGGTGGCTCATATCCTAAATAATGGGGAGGCTCATAAAAATTTGTTGGCTCACTTGGTGTTTCTTGGACCTTTTTAGGTGGCTCATATTCTTGCTTAGGATGTGGCTCATATATATTCTTTGGCCCACTTGGTGGTTCATAAAGCTTTTTAGTGGGCTCATCTAGATTTTTTGGCTCACTTGGAGGCTCATAGAGCTTTTTAGGTGGCTCATATCCTTGATTAGGAGGTGGCTCATACAAATTCTTTGGGTCACTTGGTGGTTCATAGAGCTTTTTAGGTTGCTCATATCCTGGATTTGGGTGATTTTCATATAAGTTCTTTGGCTCACTTGGTGGTTCATATAGCTTTTTAGGTGGCTCAAATCCTTGATTGGAGGGAGGCTCGTACACATTTTTTAGCTCACTTGGTGGTTTATAGCCTTGATTTGGCCTTGAAGTATATTCCTCACTGTTTTTATCCTGTTATACAACACATCATTTGGTAATCAATTAATGAAATCAGAAATTAAGTTTTTTTAACCTCTAACATCCGTCCAGTGTTAATTCACAGAACAGTTTTAGTATTATTTCGATTTTTAGCTAAAAAATGTATTAAGGAAAACTTGAAATATGTAAAAATGTAACAAGTTTAATTGATTTGTTTGCCTGGTTATAATTTGACTGCTTCTGGAACTCTGGGGAATCATATCCTTCACAAAAAATTGAATTATTTACATATTGTGTAAAAATATCTATCATTGAAGGAGTATATACTACATACATAGAGCGTCAGAGAACGACTGATTTCTCACGTCAATCTCAAATTTTCTGATCATTATATTTTTGCAACTTGATACTGCAGACATTTGACTAATATCTCCTAGACCAAGTTTAAAATATCAAAAGTTTACACCATGCTAGGTTGGAAAGAGAAGAGTAAGAAACTTGAAGTTTAAGGCGATTAGTAACTTTCTTAAATGACCCGGAGTTTTCATTGGATTCACATTAGCAAGCACCCAATTCTGAATCCTGAATTACCCCCCCCCCCCTCTAAAAACAATTATTTAAGGGAAATTATTTTATAGGGAAGGGGGAAGGTCCGGACTTTCTGCGTTATCCTTATCACATTCTTGAGCGATTTTCTCCTTCTTCTAATCAATGGATATTGGATACCCTGGGATAAAGGGTGTCCGAAAAAATAATTCGGCTGCAATTTTGAAATCCTAGGATGTGTTAAATTAATTGTATACCACTTTTATATTGCATATTTTATTTTCCCAAAAATTTGCCACAAAAATAAAAGACAAATTTTTTGAATTTTCACTTTATTTTCATGTTTATTTGGGACACCCTGTGATGCTCCACCCTTTCACAGCTGTCAGACAACATTAGTCAGATATTTAATCATAATAAAAGATTTTATTACAACCTGGTTTTAATAAACCCAGCTGAGCTGAATGAATTACAGACCAAGAAAACGATTGTGTTTACATTAATAATCTTATTTATGCTGTAACCACACGGTTGTTTAGTGAACAATATTTTCACACCCTGAGACTCAAACTTAAGAGATTAGAATACCGAGACCAGCTTTTCACAAACCCAGGTTTATAAACTTGATTTAATTTGTATTCAGATAAAAGGTAAAAGATATGCCACTTTTACCCGGTTCGGATCATAATTAAATATTTTAAGTTTCACGCTCTGCATGCCTTTATATGCATACGACCTGGATACTGGAGATTTGAATGCGGTTTGTGGTAGTCATTTGAAGAACCGTAGGACTGCCCAGACACTCCGGATATTGGTAGCTTGTGGTTCCTCTCAGAACTATATCAACAGGGACCAAATTTAATGAATTTGAACTTCCTACCACCACACCAGTTCAAATTTGAATTACCGATTCAATTCTTCCTTAATCTTTAACTTTGAATCTTTGGTTCAAATTTTAACTGGCAGATAAAACAATCTTGGTTTATCAAATAAATAACAAAAATCGGTACAATTTTAGCAATATCTTAGTCAATTTGAAGATACAAAAATGACCACATTTTGAAAATCTCAAGACCAGGCGTTTTCGAAATTAGTTTTAAACTGGAATACTGCAATAATTGTGTTCATGAAAAAATGCCACATGGATCGAAGACGATATAAAAATCGTATAATATTGCTATACTGCCCAGATACATGTACATCATAGCTTTACATAATAATACTTTTTCGAAACAATATAAGTGTAAACCCATAAAAGTGAAAATGTGAAAGTGTGAAAGTGTGAAAGTGTGAAAGTGTGAAAATGTGAAAGTGTGAAGGTGTGAAAGAAAACGACAATTATTTTACTGTTTTCTACTTTTCACTTTGCTGCAACTGTCTCTCTTGTGCATAATGTTTTATTTAGGTCACATTGTTAAATAAAGTGAATTGAGAGAACTTATAGAAGAAAGAAAAGAAAAAGATTTCCAATAAAAACGGAAACTAACCTTGAAAGAAAAGATTGAGGAGTAGAGAAGAAATTGCCTAATTCCGATTCTTGAATATGGATTTTTGCATCAAGCTTTATTGGGATTTCTAAAATAATTTGTTTGCACAATTTAAAAAAGAATATTAAGAGAATTTGTTACGACGATTTTTTTTCTATTGTCCACTTTTTCTCTTTAAGATGGTTTTCTTTATTTTTTATTATGACAATAATGGTATCTGAGCCTTCCTATTCATCTCATCACATTGTAACGTCACTTCAAAATATATTATCTACATGTTTATATAAAAAGACAATAGCAAAAAGATGGTAGCAGCACCAGTTTTTATTAATTGGAATGCCAACAAAATTGAAGTAATCTTCTATAATTAAAAGTAGCGTCCTGATTGAGTGAAAGTAGCAGCCTATAAATAGTAATGTTATATTCTCGGCATTTTTCAAGTGATATGAGAAAATGGAAGGAGTTGTTTCTTTAAACCAGTCCGTAATCTCAGGCTGGTAATTCTTAGATGACAAGATTGAAACAATCATATTAATCCAGTTTAAAGGACTACTTAAAAAGAAACCGGGTATCCGACTAGATTTGAATATTTTTATTACCTAAAGTATTATCTTCTCTTAAATAACCGGGTATCCGACTAGATTTGAATATTTTTATTACCTAAAGTATTATCTTCTCTTATATAACCGGGTATCCGACTAGATTTGAATATTCTTATTACCTAAAGTATTATCTTCTCTTATATAACCGGGTATCCGACTAGAT